TCTTCAAAGATGTTACATTTTCTATTGAATGAAGGTTTCAAAAGTCAAGACTTATACCTTTTTTATTTTTAATTACCAAATTTATTTCCCAGCTTATTTGAGATCTTTCAACCCACAACACAAAGTCACTAACGGTATTTAATTATGTCGAACTTTATTTTTAACTTGATGGACAATATTTAAATGCCACTATAAAGTTATCAATTTATCAGATGTTCAACCTATGTAACAATGAATTGCTAATGACTACTCTGAACATAGTAAAAGTCTTTTCCAATATACTCGTAACATTAATAAACATAAAGAGACAAACTCTTTGTCCCTTCTTTTCACAGGTCAGCAAATGAACTTGTCATTGCCGTTTATTTTCTAATGTTATTTACAATCAAACAGGTAGCTATTTCTGTATGAAAATAGTTAAGTTTTTTGTAGAACTAAGGGATAGCATTTTATTCCACAATCGTTTCAGTTATTCAGCTTATAATAATCCAAATGGAATGCCATTTAAAAGTAAAATTATATATTATGTCAACAAGATCTCTTTGATTTTAAACACACTTTTAGGCGGTGTGCTAAAGTCGTTTAAATAAATCGATAGTGCGAATTTGGTTCAATATTTCATAAATCGGTGTTTCGACTCCCTAAATTGAGTTTAAAACCGTTAAAACTTAATTCAAGTTGACTCACCAATTTTTTGCGGGTTATTGATAACAAAATCCAGCTTCAACATACCCCGACTGCGACTAGTATGTCCTCAGCGAGGAGTTGCCTTAACAGCGACTTTTACAATGATTTCCTCCATGACTTGGTCCAATAATTATGCTATAAATAAAGCTATTTCAGAAAGAAAACATTAACCTTTATTTCTTCTATTTTACGGCAACTGTAGCATGTCATTATCAAAGAAAAACACGTTTCCGCTCTTATTTTTTACCAAATTAGAGCAATAAAATCAATTTCAGATGTATTTTAAATACAGAGTCATCTATCGCCGGAAGCGGAACTACTTATCTGTTTCACAATTATTGAATCGAAATTCGTTTAGTGCACAGTACATCACGAGATTTGAACTTACATATACTCGTAGTTAATAGTATATCTGGAACCTTCACCAATCCAGCATTAGCCACGGATTCGTTAATAAAGCCAATTATGATGACTTTAGCAACTGACAATATCATATTAGAAATTGTATGCGTTATACATTTTGTAAATATTATAACAAAACGTGACTAATAGTCAATCACATTTTATATCATATTGTACTACGTATTTTGTAGTAAGGTGCTTATAACAGGGTTAAAAGAATTACTTCTCAAAAAGACAAAGGAATAGTCACTTACTTGAAAACAAAATCGTACAATGTACATAATATAGTCGCCATTGATTTGACTTAAAATTACTTTACTTTTTTACAAAAATCTAAAATGTATTCAGCTAGCTTAGATTTAAATTGATTAAATGAACTTACATTTATAAAGATGACAGTAACAACTTATAAAGCTGTACTCCTTCGTATGTTATACACATATCTCTTTCCACTCACTTTCGGCACAACAATTAACTTGCTCGCCGAGTGCTGCGTTTATAAATCTGTAACTTTACAAGCGACATGTTATTGATGATTTGTTTTGTTGATGATTTTTCTAATTATAAAACATGTACTGTAGGCATATAGTTGATTAATAGTCATTATTTTGATTTTATTGTAGATAATGTATTTCCTCTCACCTTAATTTAGTTACCTCTCACCTTAATTTAGTTAACAGTTTGCCTCACAGAAATTTTAGCTTTTAACTTCTTACCACTCGTAATATCAATTTATCGATTAGGGTTTCAATCTTCTTAATTTATGTACTTGACAACTTTTCAGGCTGTAAATAAACTTATCGATTTAACGATTAGATGATCTAACCAATTTAATGGTCAGCTGTGCTGCTTTCATGTCTGTAAGACATGACTGATCTAACCAATTTAATGGTCCGCTATGCAGCTTTCATGTTTGCAAGACATGAATCATCTAACCAATTTAATGGTCAGCCGTAGTGATTTTATACTTGTAACACTTCAATGATCTAACCAATTTAATGGTCAGCCGTGGTTCTTTTATATCTGCAAGACATCAATGATCTAACCAATTTAATGGTCAGCTATGCAGTTTTCATACTTGTAAGACATGAATCATCCAACCAATTTAATGGTCAGCCGTGGTGCTTTTATACCTGTAACAATTCAATGATCTAACCAATTTAATGGTCAGCCGTACTCTGTAGACAAGTGCGAAAGTTCTTCTTCTTCGTCGTTACAGTCTTGTCAGACTGGTGGTGGTCATCAAGTATCAGTGACCCGCTTTACCAGACGCTGCCTTTTTAGTACATTGGGTGGTCCAAGGTATCTTCAGCATTCTTCTCCAGCACCACATTTCGAGCACGTCTATCTTCTTTTTCTCACTCTCTCGTAGGGTCCACGTTTCGGACGCATAAAGGAATATGGAGAATACAAGCGATCGTACAAGCCGAGTTCTTTTTTTCTTTGCATTCTTTGCAATTTTTCCATCGCTGACACTTTATTGGAGGTGACTGTACCTATGTTATTGAAGTTATGTACACATAAGGTTGACCGAGATTAATATCGCCGAATGCTATTATCCATCTACACACTATTTGTCAACCATAGGTCGAAGACAGTCTTAAAAATGCATTTGATTATTGTTTTTGGTCGAAATTATGACAATATATGTATATGTCGTGGATATACTACCCTCGTAGTAATGTTTATTTTATCATTGTAAATGTTCGATATTTTCTTTTCTTAATCATTATTCATTTCCTGCTTCATCAATAGACCGGAATTAATTTGTCGCTTGCACATGTATTTCGATGTGACATCGTAGTTCACTTTGTAGTTAACAACTTAGACGGACGAGCACAGCAATGAATCTGTTTTTCTGATAGTCAAATATTGTGATCTTATTTCGATATTCAATTGGTTAAGTTTACATTCCGAACCGTTTTTAAAACATTCACGGCTGGGAACAACTTAAGGCCACGTTTTACAAATAACTATCATATGTAAACAGAGAAGATTGTTGCTATTTTTTGGCAATTCATTACCTACTATTTTTTTTTTTGTAAGGTAAGGCAAAATAATTTAAACAATACTCTCGTCCATCAATTACTGAAATGTTATTTTTTTTTCACACTGGTCTTCTCTTTCCTTTTTTTTTCAAATACAATTTATTTCCGTACTCACGGTTTTATCCTCGTCGCCAATGTAGCATTCGTTGTGCTATATTTGGCTCGTTCACGTACCGACACGTGTTGCCGGCTCAAAGGTCTGACATCGACTGACGTCCCCTCTCTCCGGCATGTACTTATGGCGTGTACGCTCGAGACAAACAACACTACGTTTATGCATACACTACACATACAATTTAACACTTAACGAACATTTTGTTTGAACTATTCATGTAAATTATAGTTCAAAAGTTAATTAAAAAAACATGAATCTGTTTTTTAAATTGTTCTTATGTTTTGCCTTTTTAAAGTATTACCAACTACAGACAATCACTTGTACAAATGACGACAAATTCCTTGCTACTTTATCATCATCATCAGGTCACTATACGTCCCCACTGGGACGCTCGGAGTCTACCCTAAGTTAGGGGCCATAGTCTACCACGCTGGCCCACTGCGAATTGGTTGACACACATATCTTTTAAATTTCTTCCCAGATTTAGCAGGTTGCATTAGCACGTTTTCCTTCAATATAACATAGGATAAATGTACATATGTATATCGAAAATCACATCGGTACATGGCGGGATTCGAACCCAAGATTACAAGTCAAGTGCTTTAACCCCTGAGCCATCGGATGGAATCAAGACATATATATCAAGGAATAAATTCACACCAGTGTAGGCCTACTCCATTAAGTTATGACGTAGGTTAGACGAAGTTATCACTCAAAGTTATTATAATAAAAGCTTTTATCTTAACTAAAAATAAGCATAATTAATAAAATTGTATCGTCTGTATGTTACATAGAAAAAAACATTTAGAAAACATGATTGATAATTCGTTACTTTCTTTATAATATTAGTATTAATTAATTAGTAATGACTGTTGATTTTATTCCAAGTTCTAAGTTCTATTTAATATGAAAAACGCGCAAATAGTCTTTATGGTTTGAAATACCGGAGAAAACATTTCCCTGTCCGGAAATGAAGGTAGTTCCCTCCCAGGTCGTAAGTTAACAACTTGTTAGAGAATGATGAAGTCATTTGTTGATACATTTTAGGATTAATTTCAGCTTATGTTTATTATTTTATAGTTTCAGACAGACTTTTGTAGTTTTAGATAAGTAATTAGAATTACTGTGTTTAATAAAAAAACTTTTTAATAAGAGGGAAATCGGTAAAATATATTATACCTAATAATGAAGTTGGATAGACAAACTCGTTAGAAATAATTAAAGGAGAGGCTTGTATTACTCAATCTGTGAGCTAATAAAATATACACAAGTTTTTTATTAACGTAATTAATGGTTCTATCTTCTCAACCCAATTCTCTGATCTTATTTTATTACCAAAAGTTTGAAAACACTTGTTAAAATAAGGTTTTAATAAAGCCAGTATAAATTAACTTAAGTCGTTATTGGTGCCCTTTTAAATATAATGTGATTTATAAAGGAATCTAAATTTAGACTTTCTTAGTTTTTTGTTAATACTTTTTTCTCGTAGATCTCTCTCAAAGTTACTGGTTCCAGTGAACAACTGCTGCTACATTTTGTTCTACAACTTCGAAACCGTTCAATTTTATTTCCCGCCAACGTAATGTACTTTGGTCTCTATGTTTCATCATTAAGTCCTGGGCCAATTCAGGAATCTCTACTCTAACCTCACAAGGTTTCTTGACGAGATTTGTTTTGTATGCAGGCATCGAGATGTCCCGAGGGCGCGGTGCCGATGGCGCGGGCTGAGCGCGCTCGGCTAGGCGCCCATGCGCGCCTGGCTGCTTGTGTGTGCGGCGCTCGCGCTCGCGCCGGGCCGGCCGCGCGCCGCCAGCGCCACGCCCGCCGCGACCGCCGCGCCCCCTGCGCCACCTGCGCACACGGCGCACACGGCGCACTCGACTCACACAGCGCATACAGCGCACACTTCGCACTTAGCGACCATTACGCACACTACGCACGACTCGCAGACTGCGCACTCCGCGCACCAAGCGCACTCTGCGCACTCAGAACACAGTGCGCACCCGCACACCCTCGCGGATCCCGCGCGACTCGACCACATCAAGACACAAATACTCGCAAAGGTAATATTTATATATTCAGTTAAATAATGCTAGCCTTCATTAGCTTCATTGTCTCTTACTTCTACAGTGTGATTGTGTGTTGTTGTTGCAGCTGGGGCTGCGCACGAGACCGCGGCCGCTGGGCGCGCCGCCACGGGACGTGGTGCGGCAAATCCTGGCGCGCGCCGCCGACACGCACACGGAGCGCCCACCAGAAGAAGACCACAGTATGCGAGAGATCATCGCTATTGCACATAGAGGTTTGAACATCCTGCAAACAATACAACAAACAAAAGTTCACAAATCAAGTTGATAAAGGTTACACCCATCTTGGTATACTTGCTAACACTATATTTGATCTGGCACAATTTTCATTGAATTTTGTACCTAATATTAATCAAGTTCTGTCTACAGATAGTGGCTGAATAAAATCAGAAATACTAATAACCTCACCCAGTTTAGTCATTATATTTCAATCTTCGATAAATTTCGTAACTTCATCTAATTTCTTGATTAAATAATTACTGAGATTTACTTAATATATCTTCTTTAGTCAACGTTTTCATCAAACAACGTAAATTAATAGACCGTGAGACTCTATTTAAATCCCCATTCGCCTACAATTCCTTACTATAGTTCATTATCAGATAATTTATTTTACTGATGACCGTTTTAAATTATCATATGTTCGTATAAAACTCATCCCTTTTCCCTCCAGCCTTTTTACAAGAAAATAGATTTCTTTCCACGTTCCTTATGTATTTTTCTTACAAATGGATAAGTTCTTTTTCATAATTTCAGTTACCCGACCGTTTCCATTGTAGTCGTAATGTATATTAGTAGAATGGACATGTTTTAGATTTTGTCAAATCATCGTCTGCTGTTCAGACGTCTGCTACATTTGGGGCAGAGTTGAATTTATTTTCGCTGTCATTTTCTTAAACGAGCAATCCTTGATCTACTTTATGCCGAGAAATGAATAAGTTTGCTGATCATATTTTAACTTTTACTGTTATTTATTATTTAGTTATTCAATTGTTTTTTTCGCTGTAACCAACTTTATTTTTTTTAATGTTTATTCCACGTTCCTTTGTTAATGCCCATTGAATAACTGGCTGGTTCTTCATTGGGTATTATAACTTTTTGTGTTACTATTGCAGTTTTGTTTTACGATTTCCAAAAATGCATAACCATTTTATTATCTATTCGTTTAGTTTCAGTTCTATTTTCGACTTTATTTTCTATAGTATAAAGATTATTTTGGAAACTGCTACCGTTGGAAAGTTTCTCGCGTTATATTCACTCGTAAAGTAGAACTTATTCAGCCGCTCTCTGAAATCCCAGGCCATGAACAAGTTATTTTTAAAACTGGATTTAAAGTTTTATTATATGTTAGACCTATGTACGGCGAAATGACTCACTATTTTTTCTAGACTAGACTTAAATTAACAAGTACTTAAAAGTTCATTGTTTTCAACATGTGTGTTAATTTACATTTAGGTATATAAAACATCCTGTACGTTTTATTTCTATGTTTTATAGAGTATGATTTCAGATTAGAATGACAGGAACAAAAACAAACTCTTCATCCACGAAGATCTTGAAGGTAAGATATTGTACTTTTATACGTAGATTAAAACACTATAAACGTCGCTAAATTCGCTACAAAATAATTATTTTTCGATGCAAAAAGCATTATATCCTTTACAATTTTTTCCCTCATTTTTATGAACAACAGTAGATAAATATAAAACATAATAAAATGAAACATATTTTCAAATTCATGAAACATCGTATACAATCGTAAATCAGCTATCATTTCATTCAGTTTATTCCTTGTACGAATATAAATAGGACCGTAAAAACTTACCCGTCCTATGCTATGCAAATTAACGCAATTTTGAACCTTATTTAGTTGTGTTAAAACATATTTTTATAACGGCATGATAATGACTTTTAAAATGTTTCTGTATAAAGTAACATTTCAAATATTAGAAAAGCAAACACATTCATCAGACGAAACTACGAATTAGCTAGCGCTTCAAGCCTGTATTCTACTGTTAAAATTTTAAATTTTTTTTCAGATATTTTTGTATGTTGCTATTATCAACGTCGGTGTGGAATATAATATAGGATACATCGTCAGTAGATTCGACTTTTATATATAGGGGTAAGTTCCATTTAATAATTTATTTTTAACCCTTAATTCGATGGTGTTCAGTGTGACGAACAACTAATTAAAAAAATCTACTGAATTAGTTTAGAGAAAATTATGTAAGTATGACTTTACTTAAAAAGAACTGATTTTTTTGCTACAAAAAATTTCGTCGAATTTAGGGTTAAACGTACTCTAAAAATTCCAATTCTTGAATCTTCTAAAAGTGGAAAATTTTCCCAAAACTATTTATCCAACGATATAACAATTTACATGAATGCATTTGGTTGAATCCCATGCAATTATGTTTGTAAGTTTGTATGTTGTAAGTGGTATAATTCTGGCAGAGTTAAGCTCTCACAATGATGGCGGTTGAGTCTTACGTAACGCCTACATTTGGGAGGCAGCCAAACTTCAGGGGGTGACCATGCACGCATCTATACCAGAATAGTGTTGCTGTTTAAATTTACTTTGCCCTAAATATTGAGAAATAAAAAAAAACTTAAAAAGTGTATTAATTACAAGCTAAAACATACTTTTTTTATAACCACGTCAACGTTCTAAAACATGTATTTAACTAAAAAGTTTCTAACTGTAGTTTTGGAGTATTACAGATTAAGTCTAAATCTCTTCCCTAAATAATGCAAATATGCATAGCAATATTTTAGTACTTGTTAAAATTGATCCAGTCATTTAGGCTCTACGCCGTTACGAATAAATTTACATACAGACGAGCACAAACATATTATATATTCATATATAACTGTCAGTTTGATAAAAAACATAAATCTTAGTAATGTTTTTTACATTTCCATACAATTAAAAATATCAAATACATTAATTCCGAACAAAGCTGTACGAAGTGAGTGTATCCTTAAAAGCTCCGCAACAGAAATATGCGCAGGGAAGCTCGCCAAGTCCTGCACAATTTATATACATGCATTTTAACTGCAAAGCAATGTAACTGGAAAATAATTACTGTTTTAAAAACAACATCCTTCTGCAAACGATTAATTTACAACTTGTATTTAAATAATATATAACTAAGTAACTAGAGTTTAATTTAAAATATTATAAAAGTAAAAATTATTTCTCGCATAGACAGCAAGACTTAGGTCACTAGACTTAGGACTAAGGACTAAGTCAAAACTCACGTAGTTTCTAAATTATAAAATAAAATAGTGGATATACATAGATAAGAAATAAAATATTGGCGTATGATAAAAAGCTAGTGCAACAGCTAGTCAGTAATAAGTATGAAAAAATAATAAATGCATCATCAGTTTTTCTCAACCAACAAACAGAACTTTGTAACCATCAGCATAGGGTGTGGCGCGAGTGCTAGCGTAATCCATACATCAATATAAAAGCGACGTTATTGCAGCGAAAAATCCCTTTATCTTCGCCCATTAAATTCGCCAACAGTGAGACTCCGACTTTACAATATCTTTTCGCATTCTTCAATTGTCGTATATCAAAATTATGCCTCTCGGGAGGCAATAAAATTTTAAAGTTAAATTTTGTCGCGTCGCCTATTGGAATAATATGAAATGCGCAGTACGTCTGCCCACCATGCTGCGCAATTGCTTTTGTTAAACTATAGTACAGTTTGAATGTATCTTGATACTTTGAACAGGCAAAACTGTGACGCAATAATGGTTAAAGATGATGCAAGAATTGGAATAGAAATAATAACTAAAATCTTTATTAAAGCTAGATTATTTTATTATCATACTACTAGCTGTCGTCCGCGACTCCGTTCGCGCGGAATTAAAAAATAATATAATCAGTAGTCCATGTGTTCTTCCAGACTATATTTTTTATGTATGCCAAATTTCATCGAGATCCGTTTAACCGTTATGGAGATACCTTCAAACATCCATCCATCCATCCATCTATCCATTCATTCATCCATCTAAACTTTCGCATTTATTATATTACTATCATAGCTGTTATAGTAAATAATTTTAAGGAAACTAGAAAAAAAATTAAAGAGTTTGCTTTCCATTTTCAGATACACCGTAAGCGTAGATGTCGCCACATGCAATTCGAGGAAAGAAGTGAGAAATAAAAGGGTAAATGTAGACTCAATTTCCAGTTTTCACAACTAAAAATTACATTCAAAAACATGTTATGTCTATTTTTAAGACATTTACTGATGATAACATGTTTTTGTACAGTGGAAACACAACAACGGTAGTACAATAAGCATTTGGTCAATGAACTTTACATTTATTTCTTGCAAGTGCCATTTTCTCGTCTCTAAATCGTAGTCAGATTATAATATATAAATATAAAAATATTTATTTATAGTAACTACATTTATGTTTATCTCTTGTTTATGTTAACAGTTTTTTTTTTATTTTAAAAATGTTTTTTTACTACAACTATTGGTAACCTCGTACAGTAATCAACTGAGCTAAAATAAACTTATATAAAAATGGCTAAACACTTACGTATATTCGTCCGGTGGCGGCACCGACTAGTTTCGAGCCCATGGGCCCTTTATCAGGGTGAGTGGGACTGATATTATTTCGCGGACGCGGCCCGTCGCTCACAGAGCACCACTCCCAATCACCCTGATGAAGGGCCCCCGATGGGCTTTAAACTAGTCGGTGCCGCCACCAGACGAATATACGTGAGTGTGTTTGTATATAAGTTTATTATAATGTCTCACGAAAGTTTGAATAATTTGAGTTGAAACATTAGTTTTTGAAAGAAATTAAACTTTTAAAGTATTTGATGTTTGCTTTTATCTATTTTAGTTTTTCAATAATAATGTTTTCCAATTTTAACGCTTATATTTATCCTTTTATGGCTAATTTAATGTTGAAAACCATAAAAATATATATTTATCCTTTTTATAGTTTTTGATGAAGTAATCAACATCTTGCTTACTTGTATCAGAATTAAAAACAACTAGTTGTTGTTATTTGAAATCCTAAGGTCCGTAAACTTTGGTGACTCATTATTACAAGAAAGTGTAATGATATATAACTCTGTTTGTAAATAGGACCCCTACGGGCGTTTGACCTCCTATCACCGAGGACTATAAAACGGACAATGATCCTACAAGTCAATACATTTAATAAAGGTTTAAGCAATCAACATAGTAGTCATTTTAATTAACTTAGAGAAAGATTAAGTGCAGAAAAAAATTAAGAGAGAAATATTAATTATAAAATTTTGTATTTACTTATTTTGACTTAGATTTCGTTGTGTTTTTATTAGTAAGAAGTGAGACAGTTGTTTTCATAGACTTGAATTTAATTAAAAATGTATTTGAGAATCGAAAACAAAATTTAACAGGATTTAAAAGTATGAAATAGGGTTTGCTTAAAATACGGTCTGAAAAAAATCTTCATATAACATCAAAATGTAATTTTATAAATAAATATGTTTTAAAATATTTTTTGTTTTTATTTCGTTAGTTTACATCTTTCTTTTATTATTATTTGTTACGAAAATATGTTACTATTTAATGAAATAAGATTAATAATTTAACAAAATAAGTGCAAACACACTGCGTAGTTTACCTTCACTCATTATCTTAGTGACCTTTGTAACAACGATTATTATTGTAGCTTGTTTGTTTTCTTGATAGTTGTAGGTACTTGGGATACAAAGAGTGAACCATCTAAATCAAACTGTATGTTTAACTGTGCCCGCGACTTCGCTTGCCTGATATACTGTCTTCTGTTAGCATTTAAACTTGTTTTACTTAAACTTATTAAAAATTAGCTGTCGCCCGCAACTACGTCCGCGCGAAATTTAAAAAAAAAACTCAATTTGTAGCCTATGTGTTCTCCCATACTATGTTATACATCTATGAGAAATTTCATCGAGATACATACAACCGTTGCTTCTAACAAACTTTCATCAATCCATCCATACATTCGTATTTATAATATAAGTAAGATATCGCATAAGGAGTAAAGATCTTGTTACAATTTTTTATCTTAAATACTAGTTCGTAATGTGTTGGTATGACAACAATGAACTGTCACACAAGGCTTAAGTGTTATCTAGTAATTTTAGATTCAGAAAGTCACTCCACAGATTGGAACTTAGTCGTCTTTTTGGCCTTATTACGAGTTAAATTGTGCTAAAAATTTAGAGAACTTTATAGAGCTTCATTAAAGTGTATTTGAGTCAGAAATTGATCGTTTTCCGCGACTTTAATTGGCAATAGATAGATAAATTGTCAACTTTGCCCTCAACTACAATGTTACAATGTAAAATCTAAATCGTTGCAATTCGTTATCAACACATGACGGATGCGCTCGCGCACGTGTAAACTATGAATGATGAAAAACTGATTGATTTCATAAGTGACATAATAGTATAATGCGATTTTATCCACTTTATATTCATAATTAAAAATTATTTATTTAAAATTTCATAAATCTAAGTTTAAAAGTATGAATTTGTTTTTTTTTTCTTCTATACTAATAATAAAAAAGATAAGATTTATTTGCTTGTTTTTTCTTTGTACTGGCCAAATTACTAAACCGATTTGAGAAATTCATACGCTATTGGGAAGCTATACTATCCCTGAGTTCTATAGGCTATTATATCTTACTAGATTTTTAAATTCCGAGTGGATAAAGTCACGGGAACAGCCTATAATAATCCTTTGAAAATTCATAAACACATTATATCTATCATCATCATCATCAGCTCACTACACGTCCCCACCGAGGGACTCGGAGCCTACCCTAAGTTAAGGGTGACTAGGCCATAGTCATTATATCTATACAATATACATAATAATATGATATACTATATTTAAGTAAAACTTACGCAAATTATCTAGAATAGTGTTTTCGATATCACAGTCCTAGCAAAGTTTTTTATGAAACTCGCACCTTTATACCTGCGCTTAGTACATCCTTTACTTCTTAAAGTAATAAAGTCAATTCAAAGAAAAATTTGAAAAGCGTTTAGTTGCAGTTTAGCTGATAATCTTTAAATTAGTATTAACAGTTGTGTTTTGTTTTGTTTTCTAACCAATTCTATTGTTGAAGTCTTTGTTAAAGCCGAAAGCCTTAAACCCATAGATGAAACAAACAATTAAAAATAAATACTCAATTTTTTTTCTTACATTTTTACGTGAAACGAAAATATTTTACCTATTTTTAAAGGAATTTCGCGAACTGGTGAAAAGAAGTTCTGAAAATGTAATCCAAATAAATGTTTGATTTTAAATTGTGTTCGATTTTTAAATTATGTACCGCGATTTAAAAGTTAAAATTCGAATTTAAGGCAAGCGAAAATTTTACTATCTTACTAATATTATAAATGCGATGGATGGATGTTTGTTTAAAGATATCTCTGGAAAGGCTAAGCGAATCTTGATGAAATCTTACACAGATGTAGAACATAGTCTGGAAGAACACACAGGCTACTTATTAAGTTTGTTTTTAACTCTGTACGGACGGAGTCGCGGGCGTAACCTAGTAATCTATAAAATGAAATCCAAGAATGTAATTAATTCAAGCATTGAACTATAAAAGATTATTAGTAAATGTTATTAACAAGAGCTTATTATTTAAATGTGTTTGTTCAAAGTGTGTTTGTTTGTTCTTATCTAAAATGATTATAATTGTTATGGATTTTAAAGGAATAATAACACAAGTTTTATACCGGGGCATTCATAGCAGGGTTAATGGTTGGGTAATTAAGTGGCCCTAAGCGTAGATTTTTCTCACTTAAACTAAACTAGTATAATAAATAATATTATGTTTATTAATGACCTCTCTGCCAGGAATTAAAAATAAATCCAGTGATATAGCCTCACCTCATGTTACTTAATGATCGGTTTAGTTTTTGAGTTTACTCCTTACATATAAAAATACAAAACTTTCCTATCTGCAATACATATTCTCGACAGTGTAACGGTGCGATTTCACTTCGGGGAAAACTAAACAATTAAATTTGTAGGGATGATAAAATTATTTAGGTATGAGTTTTCGGTAGTGGGATCTAACAGTAAATTCGTCTTTTTCATACAATTACTTATGTAATTATAATTAAACTAGCTTTCACCCGTGACTCCATTCGCACGGAAATACACAAAACGTAAAAAGTAACCTATGTCTTCTTCCAGAGAATCCCATCAAGATCCGTTGAGCCGTTTCGGAGACAGCTTCTTACAAACATCCATCTATCCATCGAAACTTTCGCATCTATAATATTAGTAAAATAATTAGTATAATTAACAAGAAGTAAGATTAGTTATTCAGAAACAACATGTTTTCAATATTTCGTTGTCGATGTGTTTACGTAATATTAAGATTTGTATCAATAACCAATTATATTTAGTAATACAAATATGAACACTACAATATTCTATATTTTTCCTGTTTATTTTATCAAATAATTTATCAAGTTCCGTCATATCACATCTACAATAATTAACACTTGTCTCAAGCCAAATTACTATTTCAATTAAAAAATTGCCGATTATTGTACACCGCTACAAACAAGTACATCAGCACATAGTGTTTTATACAAGGCACTTTCGTACTTATGTTTAATGGTTTTAGAGGTGTGATTGGCTTGGTTATTAATATTGGTAATTATAATTTGCCATGTGTACGGGAGTAGTGACTCTGTTCATATATGTTTACAGTATACGGACATTGCTCTCTGTGATATGATAGAGAGGGGCAAGGCCCTCATGGAAAATGTTGAAAGACATGACCTGTGCTATGTATATGAATCTTGTAAAAATTACACACACACGTACCAACACAATAATCTATCCTTAAGTAGATAGGTCGCCCTAACGATAGTTTGATGTCACGTAGAAAATTTATTATGCAATATGTTACTTACATAGTAAAAATCTACCTATATCTAATCCTAAATATCAACAAAAAAAACTTAATTCGTAGCCTATGTGTTCTTCCAGACTATGCTCTACATCTATGGCAAATTTCATCTAGATCCGTTAAGCCGTTCTGGACATACCTTCTAACATACATTACTTACTCCGCTGGCGCATCGATCCAAAGTGGGTATTGGCCTCCGACACAAGAGATCGCCAAAGTCGCCTGTCTTACGCCTTCTCCTGCCAGTCCATCGCATACCAAACATACATTTATCCATCAAAATAAACATTCGCATTTATAATATTAGGAAGATTAAGAAGTAAGATCATTTAATATAGACAATATAACAAAAAATAGAGTTATTCACGATATTATTTTGTTACTTTTAAGTGTATTTTTTATCATATTTTAATAACTGATAACTGTCAATTGATATCTCATAACATTGTCACAACAAACACATCTCAGATGAGGTGTTTTTACTTTATCCACGTCTTCCGAACTAGAAACACTTGACACATTAGGTATGGAAGTAAAATATAACAATTGTCATAATCTTACTAAAACGAACACATTCCCAAGTTGCATGTTATTGTAATCAGATAAATTCCTAGATTCTTACGCACTATGATTACATACATATATACTGAAGGGAACGTTTTATTTAAATCTAGTACATCCAAGTCTTTACATTGTAACGCATTCAATTGTTTTAATATAATATCACAGTAGACTTTGGTGTTACAGTTTAAAAATACGTTGTAAATAATGGATCCTTCAAGGATTGGTTTTGTGTACAATTTGCTTAAGTGATGTTGGACTTTTCATCTAAATAATTGGTAAGCAATCCAGATTTCATGTGTTACTTATTAATATTATAAATGCGAATGTTTGGATGGATGTATGGATGGATGTTTGTTAAAAGTATCTGCAAGCGGCTTAACAGATCTCGGTGGCGGCATAGATGTAGAGCATAGTCTGGAAGATCACATATGATACTTATTAAGTTTTTTTTTAATACCACGCGAACGAAGTCGCGGTTGACGCAACTGATATATAAACCTTATTTATATTCTCTATAGAATCTTTTTATAATTATTCAATCATTAACACAAATTCGCGTGTGATTTTTAATCGGAAACAGTTATTAGCTTTCTTTAACTCAATTTAATCAACTATCAGACTATTCTTCGACGTTGCGAACAATTATACAAAGTGTAAATTTATTTGAAAAACCACGTCTCTATTAAAAGGTTTAATGTGGTTTTATGTTCATTCTTGAATCATAGTAAACTGTCAATTTATTAATCATACATAGTACAGTCAGCTGCACAAATATGAATACATTGAAAAAAACTTTAAAAACTAGTACACGCCTACGATTTCAAAAATATGTATACACGTATTTGGCGTTAACAAGTATGAATGTAGATACGAGCTAATTATTTTTAATCCTGAAGGCGTATACAAGTTCCTGCACCATTGTAAATGTAATATTTATGCAGCTGACTGTACACTTCCCAACAATGGATTACTTTTGTTCTATGATTCATTATGACCTATTACTAATTGTTATTAAGGGAAATGTAAGTTAAACTAAATACTTATTTTTTTAGAATGTTAATGTATTTGTTCATTTAAACTCATGCCTAAGTTAAAATGCAACATCTAATTCATCTCTATGTGTTTTTGACGACTAAGGTCGATGATTTACGAATAAGGCTGTGCATTACGACACAAGGCTATGCTAACAGACTTACTAATGTTTATTTAATAACTATATTTAGCAATAGAATACTTAACTCATCAAAATACAACTAAAATACAAACTTCTGATTCAAATAATATTTTGCTAAGCAGAATGAGTATCTGCAGCTATTGAATAGGCCAGAAGTATATGTCGGTGATGGCACAGGGGTTAAGCACTTTACTTGTAACGTTAGAGTTTTGGTTTGATCCCCGCCATATACCAATACCAAGGCATATATACTCGAACATACGCACGAAAAACATTACTCTATGGAGATCAAGTTATAAAAATACACTGTTTATCAGAAAAACAGATACTTATCTGAGAAATTATAAATTCAAATAAGCTTAGAAGTTTACCGAGGATTCTTTCTTAAACAATGTTAGCCACCTATTGTTTTCTACTTTCTAGGTAAAGTAATAAAATGAGTTATAAAATATTGTAATCAATATTTACACCGTTGTCAATAAGTATTCAGTATTACTGTAGTTAAATAGTCGGATTACTATTATTAAGGTATTACTCAATTAGCTTAGTTTGGGAGTTTTCTGAATGGTTTTTTCTGGTCATTGTTGTGTACTTTTATTGATTGAGAAAGTGTGTATGAATAAAACTCAATGTTTGTTGTTACCAAAGCCTTAAGGCATTAAACAAATTGTTATGAAACTTTGGTGATGTATTTTTAGGACGATAAAGATGATTTGGCTCTTAAAATATCAAAAAATCAAATTACTTCAATGCCTTTTGCTGAAAAACACTCTTAATGTAAGATTGATAGAAGATTTTTTGTTATTTCACATAGAATTATCTCAAGCGCTGTTTCAACTATAAAAATATGTTGTTTATAATATCTAGCTCTAGAATATTATATGATATAAATTATGCCAGTAAATTAAGACTGTACTGGCCTGGAATGGACTATTTTAGCTCATTGGCGTCAGCTAGTCCTTATATGTAAGCCAACGCTGATTTTTATAAGCTATTTTCCTACTCTACTGGCAAAATGCATGCATTCACTATCGTACTTTACTGGTATAATGTAAAGCAGACATATTATTCGTGAATCTTACTAACTATTATATCTTTTGGCCGGTAACAACAAGATAGTAGATATCTTGCTTCTATTCTCTAACAAGTTCTCAGTGTCCAGCTCTAGGCGACCTTTGTCTTCCAAACGATCATTATCGTCCTGTAAACATATTTATTAAAATTCATAATTCGAATTCGTTTTCCCGCTCCCTGATTGGTCGGTAGTTGGGATTGCATCTATAAAATCGGTGGAGGGGCGGCGCCTCCTGCATTTGCTTTCCGGTAGCCACGGGAGCAACACGTCAATAGTATTGTTAGATTAATTAAAGACTGATACAGAATTAAGTGTTAAAATTAAACCCCTGCAAAATGGGGACAAATAGAATAAGTTATACGACACTTAGTGTTTTAATAATACTTGCTGTATTATGGAGACCCGCGTATACTGGTAAGTTCTTATTTAACTTATAATAATAATAAATCAGGAAAGCTTAAACAGAACTGTAAAAAAATGTATTAGAAATAATCGGAAAAAAAAATAAATTAAAAATATTTCTTCAGCTTTCTTAAGCTCTACAAAAAAAATCTCATTCCTATTTTTTCCTTTGTCTTGTCATAATTCACAAAAGCTTTCTAGAAAAGATTTCAAATCGAAATTTCATGAAATGAAATTAACAAGACTTTTAAACTGATTTTTATCTTTTTGTTTTAAGTAATAATTAAGTTCGAAAGCTTAGTGGACATCGATTCTCCTTCGTGTAGCAGTCTGTCATTATTAATTTATGCCTCCCTAGAACAAAGTTTTATTAGGCATTGATTTAACTATGTAAAATTTTGCTCAGTGCCAAAATCAGCTCTTTGAATATTTTTCTCATCTCTTTGTCTTCTATCTCTTTAGCTTCATAATGACATATTAGTTACACATAGTTGTTCTTAGTAATTCTCTTTCCAATCCAAATCTACAAAGAAAACGATCAAATAAAATATATTTCAATACTTAACTATTCATATAATAACAGAAAATGTACAAAATTGTATAATCTTACTAACATTATAAATGCTAAAGTTTGCATGTACGTTTGTGGTACAAATCTCCAGAACGGCTAAACGGGTAACATTGGAATTTGGTATAGATATAGAACATAGTCTGGTAGTATACATAGGCGTATCGGCGTTTAACCGCAAGGTTTCAGGTAGAAAACAATAAATTCTTCATACTTGATAGCAAAGCTGCCTTTTGCGTTTAATACAAAGACGTTCCGTTAAACGACTTATTTTTTCTTCACAAAAGTACTCAAATGCCCTGAAACTTTATTTATACACTAAGTTAGAGTCCTTCAAGAAGCGAGCTTATCACCATCTCAAAGGCCGGCAACGCATCTGCGGTTCCTCTGGTATTGCTGATGTCCATGGGCGTCTCGGCGTTCCCGCTGCTCGTTCGCTCCCTTCTGTAATAAAAAAAAAGTTAGGACGATTTTAAAAAAATCTATTTCTCTTTTTATAATCCACGTGTCCACTGTGTCCATATTTATATATGTCAAGTAAAATATAACCATATAGAAATAATCGTTTCAATTTCCAAGGAGTTGAAAATTATGAATTTGTCTTATGGAAAAAGTTCTCAAGAAAGCTATATATTTTGCAATTATTTATTATATGATAACTTTTGACCACAAAGTATTAAAGATGTATCAATAATATGAAATGGAACATTAATTCACGTTATCCATTTAATAACGATATCTTTGTTGTTGGAGCGCGGAGATAATTTGCACTTCGCAATAAACAACTCGAGATAAAGAAAAACTTTGACCCCAGATTATAATATCACTCCTCAGTCATTGTCAACATTCAATGTAACATTTGTTACATCCAATACTCTTTACCTACAATATCTTAATAACATTATAAACTTGACTCCTGTAACTTCATTTACTTAGTAAAAAACTGAAATGGTAGTATCGCAATATACTATATATTGCGATACTACCATTTCAGTTTCTTCTAATTTTACAAGAGCGAAGCCACAAGCAACAACTAGTTTACAAAAAGGTTTAGCTGGAGCTGATATTTGATTTTCACAAAATTATTTCTAATTTCCAGAACCACGTGATTTTCGTATCTTCCTTAGGTAACTTTGTAGGAAAACATTTTAAAAGATATCTGTCAACTTTCCACCTTATACTGTAATCTTATTTACTAGTAACTTTCCATACATACAGGGAAAATTTTACTTTTAATATCATCTCTTAAATATTGAAAAGTTAGAAGTTCGTTATGTTTATTTGTTATAACTTCTTTGGAGATAAAAAAATTAAAATGCTGCTGTTATATCTAATTCTCCTTGACAATGACCATTGCTTTTGATTATTCTTGGTATATAGATAACGCAAAACATTCATTAACCAAACTAACTTGACCCCTGCCCTCTTTATCGCGGTATATTGGCTTGGTGACAGTTAAAATTCGCAATTTCGACAAGTGTTATGAAATTTCATGATAACTATTACCCGATAGTCTCAGAATGATGTGCTCACACGTATAATTTTGTATCCGACTAAATTGGCTGTCGCCCGACTACGTCCGCGTTGAATTAAGTAAAAAACTTAGTTGGTAACCTATGTTTTATTTCTATGCCAAATGTCTGAGAGATACATGTAGCCGTTCTGGTAATACCTTCTGACAAACATTCATCCATCTATTCAAACATACGCATTTATAATATTAGTAAGATGCGGTTTTGTAAGAATGTTAATTGAAATGTTATCTCCTGTAGCTTAAATGATTAAATCTATTTTATAGAGCTGGGTATCATTCGACTTTTCTTTTTTTTCTGAGTATCACAGGTATAGTCAGTCGGGTTTTTTTAGTTTTTTTTTCAAGTAACAATCAACAGTACGATTTTGATTCCTCTCATAATATTACAATACAAATTACATGAATACAAGAGCGGATGATGTCTCTTTAAAGTCTAATTTGTGAACTCTCGACAATCCGTCCGACAAACGCATTCGAGTTCACATCGAGCCCATGAGATGTTTTGTTTGATTGCTTAATTTCCTTTTTGTTAAAAAAAATGTAGTCACATTCGTTGTAATTGTAATAATTAATAAATCAATGAAAGAAATAACTACATATAATTTTCGTTAGTATAAAAAATCTTGACCTGACCGATAGTATTGTTTCAACTGAAAAAATGTTTTTACAAAGTTTGTATCGCGTTCAATGAAAACTTGACGTACAAAATTGAACATCGATAAAGCATTATGTAGTTAACTAAAGGTAATTTAACATGACAAGTGAATAGTACCGACAAACAAGGGACCCTCGGGTTATCCGTTCCCAAATAAAACGATAAATACAATCCGTCCCCTCCGGTTCAGTCAAATTGGGTAATTGCGATTTGCGCTCACCCGTTTGCCCGCTTGCCGCCCGACGGCAGCGACACAAAGAAATTGTCACAACATTCATGCTACGAGGACAACTCTAAAACTCACTTCTGGAACCTTCTAACTGTTAGGAAGAAAATCCGACACCATGCCGGTGTATCGGCGCGCCATTCACGTTAACACGACTTTTTGGCCATTTCTAATGACTACTTGCTAGTGTATGTCTGCTTTCCAAACCTTAGTGTTGTTCATCTTTGCTATGGCACAATTTTATAAGCCGCTTTTGATTTAATCGCAAGTTTTACTGGAAAGTTTTGTTTTTGAAGATAAAAATTTAGGCGACATAATTTATCGGATTACTTTAGCGTAAGGTATCTTAAAAGCTTATTTCCCTAAATTATTAAAGGCCCGTTAAATTTAACTTTTTTAACAGGAACTATAGTGAGTTAGTTAATTAAAGATAAAAGCAGGCCTAAATGTTAAAGAGTAACAAAAGATAATAATATCTTGTGGAATTTTTAGACAATGTAAGTTAATTACAGTATCTTGATATATTAAATGTTGCTTATAAATCAACAAGCTTCGAGTAATCGTAGCAATAATTATTATCAATAAGTAAATAAACAAACAAAATAATTAATAACTTAACATTAAACTGTAAGCCAATTACTTGCTATCTCTTATAAACAAGGAGAGGTCAAAGTACAGTGGTCGAGCTAGGCGATAGATTAGGTTTATAGTTCCGGGTCATTCTAGGCGACCTATTAGTGACTCATTAGGTGCATCTGTGCGGGGATATTCCGAGGACCAACTGATAAGCTATTGCAAATGACACACGATAACATAACACCTGAGTTTTCTTTCTTTTAATATTTTTTTTTATTTATTACAGATAAATGTTCGCTATCATGTCAAGGATGTAAGTATAACAATTCGATTGATAAACCATCGTTCCTGGATTTACTTCAAGTAAAAAATAAATTCCCTTATAATAAAAGTTTCTAGCGGTTGAAATATTTGAAAATCCCCCAGTAGTTTTTGTGTTTCGGACAACATTTCTAACTGGTATATTTTGACTTTAGCTTCATCATCACCAACGTTTCTCCCCGGCCACACGTACAACTATGGCGTGGACGGTGCCGTCTCTGTGTATGTGACGGGCGCGGAGAAACAGCAGACCGGCGTCAAGATCTTCGGCCAGGTGTCAGTTAGCGCGCAGGGCAACTGCGGGTACTCGCTTAAAGTCAACTCCATGACCATATCTGGGCCTGACGGCAAGGTACGTCGCTTTTCTCTGAAACATCTTATGACAATGAATTTTTACAATTTGAATTATGTAGTTTCGTGTTAAAGTTTGAAATGTCTTAATGGCAATTTGCAGCCCGAGTGGCATTTGAAAGTAAATCTTTCAATTACTTATTGTATAAAAATTTAACTCTATCGTATTTTAAAGTCTGACTGCCATAAGTCACATATGACACCCTATCTTCTCACGCATGTGTCATTATTCAAGAACAATATTTTTCTTTGTACAGAAATACCCGTGCCCGAGTGGCATTGACAAGGTTGTGCGGTTCAGTCTGCAAGATGGTCGCGCGGGGGCTGAGATCTGCGCTGAGGAGGGAGACACGCGCCGCTCGCTCAACATTAAGCGAGCCATCATCTCGCTGCTGCAGACTGAGCAAAAACCATCTACTCAGGTACCACCATACTTCCTTGTAGGCTTTTGAAAGAGAAATTTGAGGATGATTTTGAGGAAAATATGGTGCTGTGTTGTAGGAAACATAAGATGTCTTTGTTGGAAGGATATTCAAAAAATAGTGGAAGAGTCCACATTCAACCGGATGAAGTACCAGATTGGTAAAACACATAAAAATACGCCAAAGCCATGCGTGTACATATATGTAACTTATCTACTCTCTTAGACATGATTGTATGTAATTGCATGTTTTATTTTGCAGGTGGACGTATTTGGTTCATGTTTCACGGAGGTGTCGGCGTCGCAGGAGGGTGGCGCCACACTGCTGCACCGTAGCCGCGATCTCTCCCGCTGCGCACACCGCGAGCAAGGCCGCAACGACTTCATCACCGCTGTGTACAACCCGACTGCCGTATGTATTATCAGATATGATAAATAACGTTTTTATATTTCCACCTAAGACCGTGATGACCAATTAACAAAATCGGTGTTAGATTAAAAAGACTCTACTCTTAAGTCTTTTCATTCTTTCACTTGCTACTTTTTTCTTCCGGTCCTGCGACTGATTGTTATTTGATCTAATTTCACTGAAGTTTTGCTTTTTATTATTAGGAAATCAAGAACACTCAGGTGCTCCAATCAACTTTGAACGTTGAGTCAAAGGTAAACAATGGTGTACCTGAGAAGATATCCGCCACCGAAGAGTACTTGTACAAGCCATTCTCCGTAGGAGAGAACGGCGCGCGTGCAGAGGTCCTCACTAAACTTACGCTCTCTGGAACAACTCAAGGCGGTGCTAACCCAGGTACGAGATTACAAACATATACTCTGCCAACTTTTAAAGTACAAAAAAACGAGATTATATAAGCAAGGAATTAAAGTTTTGTGCAAAATATATCATCACAAGTGCGTCTCTGGCACAATCGCAGTACCTACTTGCTGGCACTCCTTTGTAGCAAAACAATAAGGCTAAATCAATTTCTAGGCAACTGTCCCGAGCGACGTACTATTATCTTTGAGAATCCGCACGGCGCCGTATCTGATCAGAGCAACTTGAGAAACGCTCTCGATGCGCTCAAAGAAACCAGCAAGTCCTTACAATCTGAAGCCTCCGAAAAATCTGCGGGAAAATTCGCTCAAGTCATCAGAGTAAGTGAACATAATTTATTACTTCCACCAAATAAAAGAAAGTAAAAAAGAGGTGATAGAGACAATCACTTAAAGACTATTTTCCATTATGAAAAAATATTATGCAATATGTCAATCTAAGAACTAAGATAAGCTTTAATTTTTATTTTAGGTCCTTCGTAACACCAACAAGGATGACTTGATGAAGCTTTTCAACCAAGTGAAAGGGAACAGCTTAGAAAAGTAAGTTTATCAACATGAAAGAAGACTAAAATAATAGTTTTATTTTGTTTGAAATATCACTAGATATTTTAAACTTTTCAACTTCACAGACGCGTGTTCTTGGACGCTCTTCTCCGAGCTGGCACAGGCTACAGCATCGAGGCCTCTATTCAGATCCTCAAAGGACGGGAACTGTCGGGTCTGGAAGAAAAACTTGTCTTCCTCTCTCTTGGAAACGCCAGACACGTCAACGATGAAGCCATGAAAGCGGCTGCTGTAAGTATACTTAACTAACGCAAACATATTTACAATAATAAAATTATATTTGCTTACGATACGATAGTCATACTTAAAGTCCGGGACGTATTCCAAAAATTTGTGATTAGAGAAAATAACAACAACATGTCCAACTAATAATGAGCTTGATGTAACGGTGATTTCGAATATTAATGAAAAAAAATGTTTTCAGACCGTTTTGGACCGAGCTAACATTCCCAAAGAAGTGTACTTGGGCGTCGGAGCTTTAGCGGGCGTGTACTGCAAAGAGCACAATTGTCATTCGAGCAAGTCTGAAGGCAATGTCGCACTCAGCAAGAAGTTGGCCGCTAAACTACAAAACTGCAAGCCTAAGACCAAAGTCGAAGAGGATTACGTAAGTTAAATAATAAACACCAAAGTACTCTTACATATTTAATCATTGAATATAAAACAAAAGAACATCAGGGAATTTTAATTAGAGATTGCTTTGTTAATGGCAAGAAGTATCGTATTATAAAATATCTTGTTTTTGTATTATATTACATTATTTGTATAAGTAATGCGTACTTGTGAATGTCCTTTCCTTTCTAACTTTTAAATAAGTTACACAAAAGTTACTTGTTGGTAACTTATTACAATGCGACTTACTTACATTAAATGCTTGTTATAGGTGGTTGCCGCGTTGAAAGGTATCAGAAATATCAGACACTTGGAGGACAATCTCGTAGACAAGGTGGTGCAGTGCGCGGTCGACAACAGCGTTAAGGCGCGAGTGCGGGTCGCCGCCCTCGAAGCTTTCCTAGCTGACCCTTGTGCTGCTAAGGTAAAAAATAAATCTGGTGTGGTGTGGTCTGGATGACGATCGCTTAGTGTGATTTTCTTACAGCTTTAAAATAACAAAATTCATCAAAACAGACAAAAAAGTTAGATAATAAAAATATATCCTCTTGCAGATTAAGAAAGCGGGTCTCGACTTAATGAAGAACAGACAACAGGACTCCGAGATCCGCATAAAGGCATACCTCGCAGTAATCGGCTGCCCGTGCGGCAAGTCCGCCAGTGAGATCAAGAACCTTCTAGATTCTGAGCCCGTACACCAAGGTGAGAACAGAGTACTAAATAGAATACTTATTAAAAATATTTCCACTGTCCTTACTCGGCGATATTTTCAAACCAGTACAAATAAAGATCATTAAACCCCGCCGTTCATTGTCTCTTTCTATTATAAAATAATTCAAAGGTTTTTAAGGACCAAATGTTTTTAATTAAATGTCTTGATCATTTTTAGTGGGCCGTTTCATCACCACGTCTCTGCGCCACATCCGCTCGTCTGCCAACCCCGACAAGCAACTCGCGCGCCTCCACTACGGTCAAATCGGAACGCCGAACAGGTTCAATGTTGATGACAGGTATGTTGTAAAACTCTGGTTTAAATAAATATTATGCGCAGTATGCAAATCGTGTACGATTGTGATTATTAAAATAAAACCATTGGTTACATTAGGAAATACTCTTTCTACCGCGAGGGATCCTTCAACCTGGACGCTTTGGGCGCCGGCGGCAGCGTGGAGCAGACCGTCATCTACTCACAAGATTCCTTCTTACCTCGCTCCGCCAGCCTCAATCTCACTGCAGAGATCTTCGGTCACAGTCTCAATGTGCTCGAGGTAAAGTTGCAACAAAAAGAATTTATATTTTATAATATTTAAAATTTACTTCTAGATTTACAGGAAGTTTAGTTGCGACTAATTAATAAAATCAATGAAGAATGAAATTTTATAACTTGTTTCTAGATTGGAGGACGTCAAGGTAACCTGGACCGTGTTATCGAACACTTCCTGGGACCTAAGGGTGTACTGCGCACGCAGAAGCCGCAGCAGATCTACGACACCCTAGTTGAGCGCTTTGAGAAGTCCAAGGACAAGGTGGAACATGGCATCGTCCGACGCCGGCGCTCCATCAAGAGCGAAGTTGATAACTTTGACAAGAAAGTAAGTATTAGTAATCTCTACTTTCTAACCTTCTTAAATTCCAAGAGAGTTGCATGTAGTAAAAGGCTTTGTCAAAGTTTTATTTTATCTTTTTTAATAACGTTTTCCTTGTAATCATAGATCAAAGCGGAGTCAGCGCCGTACAACAACGAATTGGACCTGGATGTGTACTTGAAGCTGTTCGGGACCGACGCGGTGTTCCTCTCGCTAGGTGATGACAAGGGTTTCAACTTCGACCATCTCCTCGACCAGCTCATCAGTGTGCTGCATGACGGCGTCAACAAGGCTAAGAACTTCCAGGTACGATGCGACCAACGTATGACGCCGTAAAACCATAGAAATTTATAGTCTTACACATTACAGTGCACTTTTTTACTATGAGTTAAGCTCCAGCAGGCAGAAATTACCAGATACTATATGTTACAGAACGAGCTCCGTGGACACCTTCTCTTCTTGGACGCGGAGTTGGCATACCCCACATCTACCGGTCTGACCCTGAAGTTGGACCTGGTGGGCGCAGCCACTGCACGTGTCGATGTCGCCACCTTCATCGACATCCGCCAGTGTATCAAGAACCCCGAGAACGCAAAAGTCGACGTTAAACTCGTTCCCTCCACCGACATTGAGGTTTCTGGCGTGATGATGATCGATGCGGACGCCGTCAGCACTGGACTTAAAGTGATCACCAACTTACACTCGTCAACTGGCGGACATATCATCGCTAAGGTAAAGAGCTCTTAACATTACTGTACAAAGTAAATATATTTTTTTGATTTATGTAACACGGAAAGCTTTAATTTATTCTTATTTTAGATGATCGAGAACGGCCAAGGATTCGACATCAACTTCGGCCTTCCTTTAGAGAAGCAAGAAATAATTGTGGCCTCCAACGAGCTGGTATACTTTACTGCGGAGAAAGGTCAGATGGAGAAGGTAACTCCGGTAAAGGTTGACACGCAGAACAAGGAGTACAAGGGCTGCTTCGACCAGTTGTCTGACATCATTGGACTTACTTTCTGCGGCGAAGTGTCGGTTCCATTCACAGTATCGGGTAATTAACCATAATTTCGTTAGTTAAAAAAATGTTTATACGTAGTATACAGTTTCACCCTGCAAATTTAATATATTTTAGGACCAGAAGCGCAGGCGTCAATCTCCAAATTCCTAGCTCGCTACCCGCTGACCGGACCGGCGTCCGTGAAGCTTGTGTTAGAGAAGAACAACCTGCGCGGCTATCACGTCAAGGGCGTGTTGCGTAGGGACGCCAGGGCAGGAAAATACGGAGTCGAACTTCTTTTCGACGCACAAGGCTGTAAATCTGGCCGTATACAATTCAACGGTGACGCGGTCTATTCTAACGATGAGAAATCGTTGAGATTGGCTTTGGATTCGCCTACCATAGTTCTCAACGGTGAATTAGCCCTTTACACTAAAGCAAATAGGGAATATTCAATTCTGGCCAAAGCTAAGGCGGACGCGCTAGAGTATTACGGCAGGGTAGGATTCGAAGCGCACAGGGAAGGTTCCAACAGTGTGTACAAACCGGTCTTTGAGTATTCCTTGCCCGATAACAAAGGAAAACAAGTCGTTAAGGTAGACGGTCAGATTACCCACGACACGAGAAGTAATGAAGTCAAATGGAATCTAAGGAACATCAACCTCGCTTTCGTCCAATCAAACGACCCTCTCGACTTAAATGGGCAATATAAGCCAGTTCCTAATGGTTACGATTTGGATGTTAAGGGCAAGATGGGTCAGCACACCGTACTCTTTGGCTCATCTCTCAAGAACTCTGAATTCAAAGTCGAATTCCAAAATACTCTAAACCCATACATCAACTTCAAAATCAATGCCCACATCGAAAACAACAGAGAGGTGAGTTGACTTTATTCAGTGAATTGTACTTATTTTATATTATAGAAGTCTTGTTTACTAATTAGATTTTTTTTATGAATCAGGTAATCCACAACGACATCGACCTGTGGTACAGTGGTGATCTTCGTAATTCCGAAAATAGAGTAACTCTAAACCAATTCTACAAACGTTACCAAGACTCAAAGGAATTCAGCATCATCACTAAGAACAAATGTAAGGAGCCTTTTACTATATTTCAAACCATAAGATTGACTGTACGAGAAAAACTACTAAAATCCTAATAGGCCATGTAAATTACTCGTTTAATTAAAGTTAAAAAAAAATTACTTTATTTCGTAACTTTCCTTTTAGTTGAAATTCACTGCCTTCCATTGAAAGCAAAAGTAGAGGCCCAAATAGACAGCAAGAAAGTTGATATCGAACTGGAAGGTCAGTATTTGAACCGTAAAGCGGAATTAGACTTAGAAGCTAGAACTCACGTCAAGAAACCTGGAGACTACAGCCTGAAACTGAAAGCTGAAGTGGACCGCCAAGGCGTGGAAGCCTTCGCTAAGAGGGACATCGTATCCGCCGATAAATCTAACTTTGAAAACTACATCACTATCAAGGGCGTAGGAAAATACGAACTGTCTGGAGTAGTGCTACATAGAAATAAGGCTAATGACATGAATGTTGGCGCTGTCGGACATCTCAAGGTCTCTGGTGGTGGAAAGAACGAAGATATCAAGTAAGTAGATAACAAAAATTGGATACCCATACAGATTTTTAATAAAGATCACAATTATTCCGTATTTTACTATCTGCAAATATGTAACTTTTGCATATTTTCCAGGTTTGATTTTGGAGTAATTGAGAATGCTAATCTTTACTCGTCGCACGCGAAACTTTCTTCAAACAAAGGAGAATTCCTGGACTTCCTCTTCAAGGTGACCCGTGGTGCTAATGCCAATGGACAGTTGAAGTTCATCCTTAAAGACTCCATCTCCGCTAATGGACAGTTCAAAGTGACTGACAATGATGGCAAAGGCAATGGAATGATCATTGTTGATTTCCAAAAGGTAAGCAACATATTTTTGTAATATGTCTAGTGTATAAGATTTTTTAAATTAAATCTCTTAGTGTAAATGCAACTTTAGCTGAATCCAGTGAACAACATTCTCTAAGAAGTTATAAATAAATTATTATTTTAGGCACAACGTAAAATCAAGGCCGACATCAAGTTCGTGGTGAAGGACCCCGTGTACAACGCCGACGTAGACGTCTTCCTCAACTTTGAGAAGGACAACAATGACAAAATTCACATCAGTACCAACAACAAGAAGACTGAAAAATCCATCGATTCAAAGTAAGCTAATTTTGTTGCATAATTTTTGTAAGTTCGTGTAATCATCAGTCAAATGCTATACGGATGAATTTCGAACAAGATAAAACTAAGTAACAATGTCTTTGCAGGAACAAAGTAGAGTACGCCGGCAAGAGGACAGAGGTCAACGTACACCAGAGTGGAGACTTGGACTCCGGCAAAGCCAACGCTAACGTGGAAGTGGTGTTGCCAACTGAGAGGTGTCTCAACTTGAAGTTCAACAGAGACGTGACTGACAAGGACAGTGTAAGTGTAACTTAAGCCTTACTTTTATGTTTGCGCTTCTTTTAAATTGATTTTCATGATTTAATATTTCATACAGACTCTGAATGGTAACGCTGAGCTAACCTTAACCGATTCTGAGCGTCGTGGCGCCGCTGGCTCCAGCTTCACTTACACTGGCAAAGTCACCAACACCAACTTCGATAAGGACACGTTGGACTACGAGGGTCAAATTGTACTTCGCCTGAAGAACGGCAAGAATCTCGTCAACGCATTCACCTTGAAGAACATTCCCACTGGAGATGGAAAGTTCAAGGGTGATTTCAAGGTATAGTTCTTTAACTATACTTGAGTTTATAATTTTAATTAGTATTATCTTTTGGTATTATAAAAACAGTGAATGAACATTTATAAAGATTATATGAACCATCTTTCGACTACTTAACTAGTGGTTAAATATAAACTTAGACGTTATACAATTCTTCAAGGTTTTCATGTCTTATGTAACATTCAGATTGACGTGACGGGCAACCTGATACCGAAGCCAGCCTCGCTGTCCGGCAGCACCACCTATAGTGATAACATACTGGATGAGACTTACCGACTGAAGGGCAGCTACGGCGGTGACGTTGGCCTCGAAGTCGTAGGCAACTGGCTACTCAAGACCGACGGCGGTGTCAAGAAGTATGTATTGGTATTTTAGTTAATAATTAATTAATAGAGAGTCAATAAACATTAACAAAATCGATGATAAATGGTCGGTTAATTAAGAACTCGGCACACAGGAAGGTGATTGGATGCGGTGGAATCGATTTTATTGCTGTTATTTCAAAAAATTCTTATTTTTTTTGTCGCAGATACGTCGATGACAATACTGTAAGCTTAAGACTTCCGTTCGAGAAGGCTCACGACATTAAATGGGTCTCGAATGTACAATTCATACAACCAGAAGAAAAAGACTTTGCCGAGGTAAATAACTGCCTTGAACTCATCTGTAATTAATAAAGATGATAAACTACCATTTTATAACCCATTAATATTATAATATTAAATGAGTGAATGTTTTCTCGTACAGTTTACTGTGATGGAATCAATACAAGTGAACAGCGATGTTTACAAAATCGACTCGACCGGTAAAGTGTCCCTCAGCAACGGCAATGCGGAGATCAAGGTACTGGTGCCTCACCACGACCCGCTGGTCATCCACGGCAACTACCAGCTTTCCGCAAAGAGTAAGTAAAAGTAGTATATCCTTGTTAAGTCAATCAATCAATCAATCACAGTACAAATGCTCAAATGATTAAATCAGCAAATAAAAAGTATCATTCCAGTTGTCTGAACAAGCAAAGGAGGTTGCATTATTATTTCACGTGTAATTAATCTTGCAGATGACGTGAAAGGCATTGAGGCGGAGGTGCAAGCTCGCTACGGCAAGATCAAACGAGACGTTAAGTTGGTGGTGAAGGCTCCCCCACGGGAACTGGACCTGCTGCTGGTGGCCACTGCTCCTGAAGCCGAGAAACTCAAGAAGCTGGAACTTAAAGTTAACAACAAGGTAAAAACATCAACGAGAGAATAACTAGAATTCGAACTGGTATCAAATGGGAGATATATTTAAGTAAGATAATTATTCTTACATTTTTGTCATTGTGTTTCTTTGTTTTGTCTAGAACCCAGCACCCAACACCTACAGCAACGTGATAACCATCCAAGCTGACGACCGCGTCTACAAGACCGAAGGTATCGTCGTCTACTCCAGAACACAGCCTCTCTTCGACTTGAAATACACCAGTCCATCTACAACTAAACCTAGCAGGTAAATATCAATGTTATTAAATCAATAATATTGTTTTTTATAAAGTTCGTTTTTAATTCTCTTTTTTTCTACTTTGAACATCTAGGTTGTACGTGAAAGGTGAGACCATCAGTTCGACTCACGGTAAACTGGAGATGAAGGTCGAGAACATCAAGGATGTCGACTTTGACGTGACCTGTGAGGGCAACGTGCAGAAGGAGAACGTGAACTTCAAGGGCCAGGCCAACTCTGCTGCTTTCGGACTTAAGAACTACAAAATTGAGATCAGCAGCAAAGACGACGGCAGCGGCAAGCGGCTTGAGTTCCACGCTGTTAATGACAACAAGAATCTACTAAGCGGAAGGTAATTTAAATTCTGTACCAACCACGCATCAGTCTTTATTAAGTCTATTGTATCAAACATTTTTTCTGCAAATATCAGAAGAGTTACAGTTCTAGGTTATAGATAACTTACTAGCATTTTTATTGCAGCACCTCATTCATCAGCAAGCAAGAGGGCTCGAAGACTATAATCGAGGGTTCCGGATCCATCAAGGTGAAGGAAGACCAAAAACCTGCAAACTTCAAGTACATCCGCACTATCCTCAGCGACGGCAGTGAGGTATACTATATTTATATTCTTGTATTATATATGGACGGAGTTATGGTATTAGCACAGCTCCTGGCAATTTGAATTGATCTTTATAAAAGGTTTGGTGAGCAATTTGTTTAACAAGAGTTGTAAATTATCAGACATTCTTGAACCTGGCGATCGGCGAGCGCAGCTACGTAGCGGAGTCCCGAGTCACTGAGTTGGAGTACAAGACCTCATACCTGTACTGCGAGGAGAAGAAACAGTGCGCCAACATCGACTTACACTCTAAGATCAACGTCATCAGTAAGTTCTTCCTTGTCCAATAGTGGTATAAAACCATAACGTGAAAAAAAATCTAAAGGTCGAATAGAGTGGGACAAATTCAAGATTCAACTAATTCGATTCTCTTCTTTGAAACAGAGCCAGGACACATTGAGCACCTTGTGAACGTAGACTTCGATCTACGCAAGCTAGGCTTCGCACCCGAGTTCGGTCTGCAGATCTCCAACGAATTTTCCGAACAAATGTTGCCTAAGTACTTGCTCGATCTGCATGTCAACAAGAACGATAAGAAATACCACATGCACGTCTACTGCAAGCCTGAAACTGGACGTAAGTGTTTTAAACTACACCATAGAGCCAAAAAAGCAACGTAAACCGCTATTATAATAAACCACATTTATTCTTATACTTTATTTATTTACAGTGATCCCGGCCGGTATAACCGTAACCATCCCGACTCGAGTCCTGGCTCTGGAGTCCCAACTGCGCTACTCGCCGAGCGGCGTCCTGTTATTCCCGGTGCACGGGGAGGTAGCTCTATACCCCGACAAGAACAGACCACAGCAGAAAACCGCTGCCAGGGTCAGCATCAGTGCCGATACGTCAGACTTGCATAGCTCCGCTGTCGCTGATTTCGGATTCAGTCACCCTAAACTTGGCGAGGTAAGAATTGATCATATCTCATCATTCATGTTTGAATTAATCCGTTAACCTAGTTACCATAAGAATAAATAATACAATGAATTAACAAATACAAATTCAACAGGAATTGACACTCAAAGTATACACGAAATTGGACCGCCCGCAAGAAAACAGTCTCAAGATCGAAACTTCTGCTGTGCTTTCACACAATTGCTTTGGAGGCGTAAGTTTTTTTTTTATTTTAATCATATCAGTTTAAATAATATGTATCCATGAATGTCGATATTTATTTTCCTTTCCATTTTGCAGAAACGTGAGTCAAAGATATGCTTAGAAGTGAACCCAACTCACTTGAAATTCACGGTAAGTTTTAAGAAAATAACAATAGCGTAGTTTTATAAAATATCGTTGAGAATACATTCTACATTTATGGTCTTCCCAGTTCGACACGCCGCTGGTATCAGTGATCAACCTGGAGGGCTCTGCGATCGTGAAGGACAATCTACAGCAGGGAGACGTCAAGTTCAGTCTGCTGGAAGGCAAGCCGGTGCAGATGCACGCTGTCGCCCGCGACTTCCAGTATTACGAGTTCACCACCGGATACAGCGGTAAGTGTTAACTGGCTCACTATTAAACAAGTTTTAATCTGACTACTTTAGTTTGGTCTATGTCCTAGTGTCCTCCATTCATAATGAATGATGGAGAACAGTAAAGACTTTGAAGAATATATTAGAAAATAGGAACTTTCAAACGGAAATTTATTGAGGTTTTATTGCAGACGAAACCGAACGCAAACTGTCGATTATCGGTCACCTGCAGCCGGAGAAGCGAGTGGACGTGTCGGTGGACATCGTGTTGCCTGGACACAAGAAGAGCATCGCTCACGGCGCCCTCTACCTGCAAGACAATATCGTCAAAAGTGACTACGGACTGTCCAAAGAGAACTTCAACTACTTCGTGGTAAGCTTAGCTTTCGAATAAATTAATTCTTTGCATAATTTGTCTGTGCTAGAGACGGTTTTAAAAGAAGACCTTCTTTTGGCCTAACATTTATTTTACTCTAGGTATCTACAATGTATTTTTATGTTAATGTTACAGAACGCTCTGAAGAACGATCTGACGAATCTACAAGGACGCGTGAAAGAACTAGGAGAGAAGAACAGCGAGGAGTTCAAACGCACGTTGGATCGCATTAAGCCTACATTCAAGAGATTAGAACAGTCCTACAAGGAGGACCTGGAGAAACTTGTTCACGAGATCACTAATGATGAGACACTAAAGGAAATTTCCGAAGCACTGTAAGTAAAGTTAACACATCTCAAGTCCTTTTTGATAATTAGAAAAAAAGTTTAAATTTCATTCTCAAGTCTTTTGAAATTAGGTTTAATAAAGGCATAGCGGAAATAGTAATGAACCTAATAACAGAATATCTTTGCAGACACTACGTGGCCCACTTCTTGGCTAAGATTATCGACGACTTACTGAGAGTTACCAAACCGATGGTTGACAAAATAACAGACCTTGTCACCGATCTGGCCGAGAAGACCAAGACTATGTATGTTAAACAGGTAAGAAAGAAAAGAAGATTTAAATTTCATTAAATTACTCTTTCTAGTCCTCTCATCTTAAATTACCCGTCTGTATGTCCTCAGAAATTGAACATAGCAGAAACATGAGGTAATTAGGTTTTTAACTTTTTAATACTCAACAGTTGGAGCCTCAGATCAAGGAGCTGTACGCCAACATAGCTGCGATTATAAACGAATACTTTGACGGTCTCCTGGACACCGCCGCGCACTTTGCTGCACTCGTCATTGACTTCTTCGAGCGTCACAAGCCTGAAATAGAAGAGCTCACTAACACACTCACTGAGATCTTCAAAGGTAAGGAAAATTAAATAAAACACACAAGCAAGCATAAGATCTTAAACTCTTACTAGTTAATGGCGTTTTTCGGCAATGAGTCTTTGTAATAACTCTGTAAGAACCTTGTAAAACAACGATGATATATCTGGAATTGACAGTTAAGGACCTAGATACATTCTTGATTTATTATTGACGCCTTTATACATCTTAATGCTACAAAAATTCTTTTAATGATAGTTCTTATGCTAATTTTCAAAATTTTTAAATCATTTTTTTTCTAACAGACTTGACCAAACTACTGGTTGCTCAACTGAAGGAATGGCGCGTTAAGTTGTCCCAGATATGCGAGGAGCTCTCTCGCCAGGTCAGCGACTTGCCAATCATCGGAATTCTGAAGGAGAAAGTGAGTAGATATTGTTATTATAAAACTGTAACATGCCACTTTTCTTGCTTCTTAATTTAATAGGGCCTAATCCTGTTTCTTAAATATTTTGCTCATTCATTACTTTTTATGTATAAATTTTCGTTGTGTACTAAAAACTATTTGTGTCTTATGTAGTGGCAAGAATTGGCTGTACCAGAACAAGCGATTGGCATCTTGAGACAAGCGCAAGAACAAATCCGCCAAGTGTTACCAACGGAAGACGCCAAGAACTTCTCGGACGAGCTATTCAATTACATTTGCAAGGTAAAATTAAATTACCATGGTATGATGGTGATTCTTTACTTGCTATTGTATAATCAGTGAGTAAGTTCACTAGGTTACAAATCTTACTATAACAAAAAATTATAAAAGACTTTTTTTTACTTTCTCGAGACTTCTTCAATTAATGTCATGGTCATGTGTATGTGCACAGAAACTGCAACAGGAGAAGATCGATGAGGTGGCGTCACTACGCGTGCTGTACGAGAAACTGGCGCTTGCGGTGACCTCCATGGTGCAGTTCGTGCGCACCGGCCTCGCTAACGCAGGCATCTCGCTCCAGCCCACATTCACACCGGTCAGTACTTACTGCAAACTCAATTACAAACCAGTGATATATTCGCAATTGTACGTGTATGAACTCCGCCAAAACTAACATTTTAAAGCAGATATATATTGTAACGAACGAGGTGTTTTTCTTATAGATGTCTCTGCCAAGCTTCGCGCCGCTGTCGTTACCGTCTTGGGGCGGCGGTGCTTCCGCCAGCTTATTCACCCAACTGCTGCGAGGAGATCTGCCTGACCCCCTGGCCGTCGTCCGTGCTTACAGGCCTCGGTCACTCAACCCACTTGACGAGATCCCGGCGAAATGTAAGTACCGAGCAGTAGTAATATATACTCTCTGCATCGCTGGTGTAATTTAAAAACTTTTTCATTATTAACGTCTGTCTAACTGTTTAATGTTGTCATTGTTCAGTGCGCGCTGTGGTGGTCAACGGCCAGCACATCTTTACGTTCGACGGACGCCACCTTACGTTCCCGGGCAGCTGCCGCTACCTGCTGGCTCACGACCACGTCGACCGCAACTTCTCCCTCGTACTGCAACTGCAGAACGGAGCGCCCAAGTCGATCATTCTAGAAGACAAGAACGGTGATACTATCGAAATTAAGGACAACGGACAGGTAACCTTACGATCTTTTAAACGGATGCAGTTATAAAAACTTCAATATTTTTTCTCTTAGTCAAATATTATTCAAGAATATCTCTAAATAACGTCTACTTCTTTTCTTAGGTTGCACTGAACGGAGCCAATCATGGATTCCCGGTTATGCAGAAAGATTCCTTTGGATTCCGTCAGCCAAATGGTAACCTTGGACTGGGCACGGAGTACGGCCTGATGGTCTACTGCTACGGAAAACTTGAGGTAACTAAAACGGAAATTAAAAACAAAACACAAAAGAGCTTTAAGGCCTGTTGTATGAGTTGTATTGTCCAAGTCCTAAATCTTAGAATAAAATATTTTATTTAAACGTTACTTTACGTATGTTTGTCAGGTGTGCTACATTGAGGTGAATGGCTTCTACCTGGGCAAGCTGCGCGGTCTGCTCGGCGACGGCAACAACGAACCTTACGACGACTTCCGTATGCCCAATGGAAAGGTACATTTTTCACCTCGTTTTATATTGATTTAACAAAACGTTTACCATTCTTCCTCTTTTCAAAGTTTTTTAAACGTTGAAATCCATTTTAATTATTTAAAATTCATAACAGAAAATTCCATTGATGATATTTTGGTGTTATTAGATTTCAACATCGGAGTCAGAGTTTGGTAACGCGTACCGTCTAGCGGGCAGCTGCGCCGCGGCCGCCGTGCCCGAGCACAGCCACCACCAGCTGCACCACATGCAGCTGCCTGCCGCCTGTGAGATGGTCTTCGGAGGTACCTCGCCACTCCGGCCATTGTCACTGCTACTCGACATCGCGCCCTTCAGGTATGTTCACAATAAATATGTCTACAGCCAACCTACCAATAGAAACATGGAGCTTACAGCATTCGTTTTCTTGCAGACAAGCTTGTATCCACGCCGTGTCCGGTGACTCCGAGGAGGCGGTGCGTCAGGCGTGCGCGCTGGGCCGAGGATACGCCGCGCTGGCTCTGACCGGCCTGCTGCCCGCCGTGCTGCCGCCGCGATGCGTCTCCTGTACCGATGCCGACAAGGAACACAACGTCGGGGACACATACGAACTGAAACTGCCGGCTAAACAGGCCGACATTGTCGTCGCTGTTGAAACTACTGTGGTAAGTAGATACATCCAGCACTCCCATGGCGTGAAACATTTCTTTCAATTATAAGCTATAATACGCTTTCCTATCTCCAGGGCAACGAAAAGAACTACAAGGAGTTACTGGTACCCCTGGTGTCGCAGTTGATCGATGCTCTGAAGAAGAGTCAAATCGGTGATATCAAGGTTTACCTGGTCGGCATCACCTCCAAGTTCCCCTACCCCATCCTCTACGATACTGACCGTGAGTATCACGTGCTACCTTTTACTTTTGTTATATGAACAGACTAGATCGTCAACTTTCCTTTTGTCGAAAGACTTGGGATGTTATCAAACTAAACCTATCTTTTATATGTTAACAGTGAAACTGAAGAACGCTAAGGTGCAGTTCACGGACAAGAGTCGCTACGAGCAATTCGAGACGATCAAGACTGGCTACGAGAAGGTTGATGAGTTTGAAGAAAAGGCCGTCAACCTGGTTGATTACATCAGGAAATCACTCGGTAACTATTGACAATATTCTATTTAGGTTAAAATGTGACTGAGTAAAAATTTTCTTCGATATATGATCTCTACAACCTTTCCAAATCACAAATTGCCAGTATTTCCGATATCTGCTTTATTATTTCTTGAACTTCAGTATTCTCATTTGTCATATGTCTAAGATATTAAAATAATATTTTATCTGTGTTCTAGGCATCACGAATGTATTGAGCGGCTACAGGAGCCTGTTGGATCTGCCACTGCGTCCCGGCGCCGTGAAACACAGCATCAGTCTCGTCTCCGACCATTGCCAGAAACAGGACTTACTGGTAACTAGCATTATTTAAAAAGTACCTCTCCTACTTAAAATTTATGATTAGGAGAGAGAATAGTAAATAAGATTGCATGTCAAAACATCGGGTTTTAATTTGACCTCTCTCTACTCTCGTTAGCATCATCAAACAAATAATCACATGAAATAAAACCCAAAAAAAACTGGATTCGCGGAAAATTAAATCACATAATTAGATTTTGAATGCTTTCATGTAAACTTTTGACATTATATCTAATGTTATCTAATTTGAAAACTTCATATTCTCTTTTGTTTTATTCAGTTGTCGACATTCTGGTCAGCGCTGTACAGCACCATATACAAGGAAAGTGCGCATACACACTCCATCATCACAAACACGCCCGAACTGGCTGACGGCAATGACAAACTCAAGAATGCTGCCGGTAAGTCGAACACTGATAAACAAATACACAATGATAACCAGTCTAAGAGACAGGATTATAATGTAATTAACAGTTGGGGCTTATAAGGCGATGTTGTCAATAGTTTAAAAACAATTTAACAATGTGTACTTCGATGGTTATTATTTAAAGAAAATGAATGAAGAGTGTTAGTCAAATCGACTGAAAAAATTACCGATTGTTAGTTATTCTATAATATAGTTAATATAATTGTTTCTGGTGCAGGTTATACCAAGCATTCTGTGCTGATTTGTGGCGACAAGAAACATAAGGAGAACGAGGCTCTGCGCGCCACCATCAAACGAACTGACAATGAATGTATCAACTTTATTGAATCGGTAAGTCTATAAAATCTAATAATAGAAAATAAAAAGTATAACAAGGGATTTCTAATGTAGAATTACAATGTAATTTGAGCTTTAACACTACAAATATAAATGTCATTTCAGACTGATGGCTTCGTGTTCTCTGCGTCCAACTACGAGGCGATGAACCCTGGTATGCAGAAGCAGTTCCTGCAGACAGCGGCAGGAGCCATCAGCAAGGAGATGCTGCGCGAGGTCCTTGTGCAGGAGTGTACCTGCACTTACGTCGATCCCTACCGCGTACGCTCTGTCTGCTTCACCAAGGAGAGGAAGGAAGCGGTATGTAGCTTTTCCTTCCTTGTTTGTCTTGTTCCTTAACAACCTGTTGTTTATAGACCATGACAAAAGAAAAGAAATTCAAACTCTTAATTTCTAAATATGTACTTTTAGACATTATTAATAATAATCCTTTGGCGTGAATGACGTGCTTTCGTTACAAAGTCCAATGTCAGAATGAATACTGAGGGGTCATAAATGTCGACATTTTAGTAAGGCTAGTGTTGTGTCAATACACTGGCTCATTTTCGGATTTTCTTCCTAACAGTTCGCAGTTCTTTATAAATAGTAAAATCTTTTTGTTCGCAGGCTCGCAGAAGGAAGTAAACGTACCGAGCGCCATCTGTGATCAGAACCGAACAATTCTTACCAAATATTCTTTAGTTAAGTAAATGAGCTCTAACGAGACTCGACGGGGAATCATTTGAAAGCGTGAAAAGGACCGCTTGTAATTTATTAAATTAACTTCAAGAAATTATTTAAAGTAGTGTTCAATTTAAATTAGTAAAGTAAATATAACTGAAAATGTACGAAACAATGTTTATTTGAGTTTTAAAATCTCGGATTCCGTAACGGTCGAGAAAACTTTACCGAGTCTTGTTGGAGCTCGTAGACCCCATATTTAGTTGCCATGTTTTTATGAATAGAGCCTATTTATAACCGTAATATGCAAAATCAAAGAGGTATTAAAGTAATCGATCTTTGTATTAGAATAATAAACATATATTAATATATTCTTGTGATTTTATTTATTCATGACACAGAGTCACGAAATGTTCAGTACCAACAATTTTTAAGGAAAGAATTTAAAGGGCGGTATTTTAGTATTATGTAGTTTCATATCACCTCTCTATATGTCCCCACTGAGGGGCTCGGAGTCTACCCTAAGTGAGAGGTGACTCGGTCCAAGTGCGGGTTGACTTCACACATATCTTTGGATATCCTCTCAGATATGTGCAGCATCACGATGTTTTCCTTCACCGTATGAACGTACAATATATAAACGAAATAATAATGGATGGATAACGGATAAAATGTACGCGTACAATATATATAAATCGAAAAACACATTGATACATGGCGAGATTCGAACTCAGGACTTACAGATTCAAATCATACGCTTAAAACCCCTAAGCCTCCGACGCTTTATAAAGTAAATACATTTTTTTTCGGATTACATATTTATTTTATATAAAAATAAAAGTTATAAAAGTTATTCTTTGGAATAATCATAGTAATTCTTGCGCACCCAGCGCATGCGTGTCCCGCGCTGCGACATTATTTTCACAGAAGCGCTCGCCGCCGCCGACACCACTTCTTGTACCTAACAACAATAACAACAATAACAACGATATATTACTTCAGTTTACATTCACATTTATAATATTAGTAAGATTATATAGGTTTAGATGGATAGATGTTTTAAGGAATTTCCACAACGGCTAAATGCATTTCGATGAAAAACAACATAGTCTGAAAGAACACATAGGCTACCAATTATGTTTTTTTGTAATTCCGCGCGGACGGAGTCGCGGGTGATAGCTAGTTACACATGTAATATGAAAACTGAATTCAATGATGTCACAAAACATACAAGAAGTGAGATTTAAGTACAACTTGGACTTAGTTAAGTTCATACTTACACTTAGCATCAAGTTCTGCGCGTTACCAACTAACATGTTGATCGCTTCCTTGTCTTCTTGATTGTCTGGAAATTAAATATTATCATTAACTTAGGATATATGTTACTCTACAATTAACTCAGGAACTATTGGAAATGTATGTAACAATAAGTTGGCATAGCAAACTGGAAGTCCGTGGTCAGAGATAGACCGAGGTGGAAAAAGTTGCTGGACCAAGCCAAGGCCCACAAAGGGATGTAGAGCTAGCAGAAGAAGAAGATGTAACAATAAGTTACCATGTCCGAGAGAGGCGCCTTTGACAGTGGTCAACATCTTCAGCTGTGCGCTGATGGTGGGGATCCTGTCACACACCTGCAGCAGATTCTGTAACACAAACAACAATCGTCTCTTTATGATAAATAACATTTTACTATAACCATGATGTTTGGAAGTGTTATCATCATTCACTCCTTTACTAATTCAAGGAACATTAACATAAATTGGCTAATATTTTTTCAATGTAATTCCACTCAACAAAATTGATTCCTTTTCATCATCAACTCACTATACATCCCCGCTGAAGGGCTCGGAACCTACCCTTAGTTAGGAGTGACTAGGCCAAAGTCAACCACACTGACCCAGTGCGGGTTGACTACACTTTTCTCAGACATATGCAGGTCGCATCACAATGTTTTCCTTCACCGTGAGATCTCTTACTGAACGCAAATTTAGAGTCCTTACTGTCAGTCTTAATTTAGATTAAGAACGAGAACTCTACACTAAAGGACTGGTAAAGTGAACACGGTACTTAATGCTATAGTTTAATATGTATGTTGTTTTATTCAAGAAAGTGAATTCTAAATACTTACGGAACGAATCCTAAGATCTGAGCACTCAAGCGCCAGTTTTCTGGCCAACTTCGTCACTTCAATGGAAGCCTTCACTATAGCTTTAGATGTCGCGATCACCTCCGGCTTCTTGTCTGAATATAAATAATATTATATATATATAATATAATTCACATAAATTGTACGGAATGATGCGCAATTAAGAAGTTTTATTTGAATAAATGTAAAACAATTAGCAAACTTTAAATCCCTCTAGCGGCTAAATAAAGCAACTTTGGATAGATGTAAGTTATTATATTAAATCATTATATTTCCACTAAGGAATCATAAATACAATTGAATGATACCATGGTTCATGTAATCAGAGAGCCTCGCCATGAGCACGGCCATGCGCTTTGCCACCGCCACTATCTCGTTGTCCCGCGCAGACCACTCCCGCACCGCCGCGTGCAGGTCCAGCGCAGCAGCCTGCACATACATCACAAACACAGTATTGTATCTCACATCTCATATACAGTAACCATTTTAACTACTTCATTACAAGTACTTACAAAGATAGGTTGATTTGGATCAAGTTGTTTTTGGAAAATATTTTCACCGCTCAGAGCAGACTCCACCTCGTTCGTAGTTCTTAATATCTGAATAATCACATTATGAAAAATGTCAAAATTTATTACAACAATTTCATGAATTTTATGTCGACCATACGTAGGGAGGGAGCAGTAGTTTGGTTTACCTCAGCAGTGACATCTCGCCAGTCCCGGTGGTGGCTGGCGCGTGTTCCGGCGCCGGGAGCTGTGGCCTGCAGCCGGCGCTGAGCCTGCGCCAGCGCACGTCGCAGCTCCGCGTCCTGCGCCGCGTGACGAGAGTTCAGCCCCGCCTCCAGCACGCGCCAACCCAACCTGTACACACCATGTTCATGACCCTCACAATCAGCTGACTCAATTTGAAACTGTCCTAGACTAAAATGCCAATAACTATGCTAAATTTTCAATTTAAATATCATAAACGGTCAAAAATTACTCAAAATATCAAAATATAAGACCTCGCTTCATGATCCTCTAAAAAGTTGTGAAACTCATTTACCCCGTGTTACAGTCTCATGGAACTGTGGTGGCATACAGAAGTCCCAGTGTGTGTAAGTTCATAATGTATGCGAAGAACAGTGTAACAAATGCAACATACTTGGTGATGAGGTTTGAGGTGTGAGCAGACTTGAGAGGATCATCCTGCGCGCCTGACTGCTCGCGCATGCGCTGCATTGTCTCACCTAAAATTACAAAACATTTAAATATACACAGATCAACATTAATTTCAATTACTTTTAAAAATGTAAAAACAGAATTTATTAAGTGAAGTCTTACCTGCAGCTTGCACAAAGTCAACAGGGTCAACAGAACGGTCGCAAAGTATTCGAACCTTGGACATTGACTCCGTGTACTCAGCCATCAGAGCTTTGTACTTGTCAATAATTGCCTGTAATGTAAAATACATCTTATTAATATATTAATGTCGATCATAAGAAGCGAATCATGGTAAAATAACCTTAATCAAATACAGAAAATTACATAATTGCAACAATCCACTTTTTGTCACAACATTTCCTTGGTGTTCTTACCTGTTGTTGAGGTGAACTGATTCTTTCTTGCGTAGCTTTCACTAATGTCGGTGCCAAAAGTTCCACCTGAAAGAAGTACAAAATAACTAAGTAATCCAAATATACTTGACTTTTCTAGATTTCTCAATCGGTGTATGCTGTTCATGTTACCTGTTGACTGCACTGGGTGAGGTCATTGCCCACGTGTGGAGGTCCAGCATCCGCCGCCAACCTCGCAGTCCTCGTCACTCTGCTCATCTGCGCCAGTAACTCGGCTATCTTCAGCTCCAGAAGATACTTTCTCTTCGCCTCATCTGAAAATTATGTCAAGAAATACCTGACTTTTTAATAAATTCACCAATTATCTCGTTAAGATGACTGGATGCAAAAAAGAAGAAAATCGTGTACTGTTGAAGGCATCAGCGAAAGCCTATGTCTAGCAGCGGACTGGCACAGGCTGATTATCATGAAGACATTATCAGTTCAATTATTTTGTGGTCGTAAACATTTGGAAAGTTGGAAAAAATACATAATTCTCTACAATTAGTAACAAATTCTTACCTTTTTCAACATCTACAAGAAGTTCAAGATCGTCCAATGCAGTGCCGTCCTCCAGGAAATCTTCCACGACTCGAGTCACAACGAAACGATCTAACATCTTCTTTAATTCCTGCAAACGCTCCCACAGGAGACTGGAGAAGATTTGACGATAAAAGACATGCTCAAAAAAAACAGATTAACATTTTGGTTATGGATTAGATACCTTGACTTTTCTTTATGGTATTTAAATGAACATTCCATCGATAGTTTCTCCACTTCGTCTATGGTTTGATTCATCTCTTCTTTATCAATGTCATTCAAATCTTCTACCATCTGAAAGAATTTTAATCACAATAAGAACCTTCTTTATCTATTATAATTTTCATGAACTTTTAATTGATCGTAATCAACTTACCTGTTTAGCGATGTTCACCACATTTATAACACCTTGTATTCCATTAGATCTGATGTCTTCGCTGGAGTTTGTTGTCTGCAGCCATTTCTTTGCTGAATCCATTCTAAAATATTAAAAGCAATTACCCACCCTGGTATATCTTACTAGACTTACTAATATTAAAAATGCGAATGTTTAGATGGATGTATGTTTGTTTGAAGTTATCTTCAGAACGGCTGAACGGCTTTTGATGAAACTTGGGATACATGTAGAACACAATCTGGAAGATCACATAGGCTACTAATTACGTTTTTTTTTTAATTCCACGCGAACGGAGTCGCGGACGACCGCAAGTGTATAATATACTTTCCTAACGATGTTTCAATTTGTTGACAGAAAACTAGTTATAGCTTATAATTTGTGTTTTGGTACTTACTGAGTTTCCAAGTGACTCTTCTTTTGAACCTCTGGTTCCTGAAAAATAAAATAACGAATTAACATATCTCGCTGCTTGCGTATTGATTAGTCCATTATTATGTTTTAGTTAAAAAGAGAAACAATTCACCTCTTCTTCCTGTATCTGGTTTGATTCCAGCAGCCCAGCGCGCTGACCGTTCTCTCTGTTTACATTTCGATTAATTAGGATTTTTAGTTCATTATTATTGTATTGCTATATATAAGTTGTTAACTTAATAAGTTAATTATTTAAGGTAAGGTTTCACTATGTCTTTTGTTTAAGTGTTAACTTACTTGATGGTGTTGACGAGTGCATCAAACGCCTGCAGCAGAGCTGTACGACTGCTGTCGAACGTCTTCCAGGAAGTCACACCATCTTTGCTGTTGATGGTGTTCACCAGGGAGACAGTCTTGTTCAACAATTCACTGCAAAAAAAATCATAAAGTCTCAACAATCTTGATTATAGACCTTAACTACCGCGGTACTCGTATTGTCATCTCTTTTATTCTTTTCCAAAGAACAGGGAAATTCAAAGTTTTCAAATTCAAAGTTCAAAAATGCTTACCTAGAATTCTTAACCACATCATTACACGCTGATGATGTCTCTGCTGACAGATTGGTCACTTTTGGTAGCAGAGTTGGTCTCTTGATGACAGCATTGAGGACAGCTATGGCGTCAAATATCTTCAGAGTTGATGAACTGATTTGTGTCTGATAGAAATCGGTAAATAAAACATATGATGAGGGAGACAGGGCATCTTACTATGAGGAGTAGAAAGAGATAAAGAATAATAAAAGAAAAAGACATAAAGAACGAGACAAGTGACGCATCTACGATACTCTTTTGTTTACTTTTGTTTTATTATGTCGCTCTCTCTTTCACTTTACCTACGTAATATCTTCTCTCTCTCTCTTTCTCTCTCTTGTAACTTACCGTACTAGAATTAGGGTTCTGCAAAGTACTATCCAGCTCCTTGATTGATGTGTTTATTTCAGTAGCGGCAATTGTCAGGTCATTCTTATCATTTAAGTCAATAATTTTGTTCTTGGACTCAATTATGACAGCTTGAAGTTGTCGCTCATTTTCAATCAATTCCGATTGTAAATGCTTAATCTGAAACAAAGGAAAAGTGTTATCTTACTAATATTATAAATGTGAATGGCTCTATGGATGTTTGTTTAAAGATATCTCCAGAACGGCTCAACGGATCGCGCTGAAATTTGGCATACATATAAATCATAGCCTGGAAGAGCACAGCCTACTTGTTAAGTTTTTTATTAATTCAGGGCGGGTGGAGTCGCGTGTGACAGCTAGTCTTGTTTAAAAAAAAAATTGTCCTTTTGCTACCTTATAAGTTTGACAAATAATCGATCAATTATCACTCTGGATGCGATAAAGGTTTGAAACATTCAGTTTGTGCGGTGGTGGGTTTGGCTTCAAACACGATTTGAATACGACGCTGAAGTTAGTTATTTTACCCCTTGTTGCATTCAACGTCTTTAAATGTATTTGTTTACCTGATTTACATTTCCGGAGCACATTATTCTGACGCAGTTATCCTGCATGGTATCAGCAAGTTCCTGAATCTTTATCACATTAGGAAGTCCTTCTCTGGCGCACTCCTTGTACTTGTCTGATATTGATATCTTAAAAAAACATATACTTAGTTAACTAACTAACTAGGGTGATACAGCGACCCAAAGTAGGGTTTCGACAACATAAGTCTCTACTTTTCCCGATACAACGCCGTCCCAACCCAGTTACGGACCTGTGATACTTAGTTATGGTTTTAAAAACAATGTTTTAGCTATTTAATTTGTTAATTCAATCAACTCTTCATCATGTCCAAACGTTTCTAATCAAGTTAGGTTTAGTTATTTAAGATTAACACTGGATATTGTAAATTTGGACTCACAAGATAAACGCATTGTGCCGCATGTTCTGATGTGTTGTACACAGACGATGTAATATATTGTAGTGTAGAATAACCCTCTTCTCGAGTCATAGCTTCGTCATTTTTCAATTTATCTGAAAGTATATGGCATAAAATAAACGATTTAATATAATTAAAATTGAATAACTGCTAATTTACAAAAAATTGTTTGAGTGTGTTTATTTCAAGGAAGACCATCAGCCACTTTTTACAAACAAGGTGTATAAGGAATGGTAAACAACATAATAAAATCTCAAACAACCAAAAAGTCAAAGATCACAAAAATTACAGTAAATGAAGTAGATTTAGTTCACTTATAATAGATTTTTTTTCTTATCGAAGTGAGTTAAGGTGATGTTACATATAAGATCGGTGTGGTCCAGCACAGCTTGCAGACAGGCCGCGTAACCTCGCGCGCTGCTCGGCTGCTCTCTGCTGGCATTCTGCAGGTAGCTCGTCTGCAGCTTCAAACTGCTCAACATCTCCTTGCTAACTTCATCCGGGTCGGTGACACGACTCTGTGTAGTATTGATAATTGAGTACATCTCTAAAGGCAAGATGAAACCTAGACATAGTGGAGTATAAACCTAAGCCTAGCGTTCATAGCAAAGTCTATCATCTGATGTGTTCAAAATTAAATCAAATTTGCAGTATGTATTTAAAAATTTTAAAAAATCTTACCAATTTTTTTATGGAGTCATTCAGAGATCGGATAGCGTCTAAGAGACGTCTTCTTGTATGCATAGAGTCGCCTTCCTACAATCATAACAGAAAAGAAAATTAAGACACATTTATAAATTGACATTTATTTTCAAAATATTTTTTTCTAATGTCAGTATCATGATATACCTACCTTACTGACTTGCTCAGCGACTTTTAATAAATTGAAAGTAGCAAAACGCATGTTTTTCGCCGATTCCTCTATCCTATGACTCTGGATACGGTTCTATGGAAAACAATTTAACAAAACATGACAATAAAGAGAAAATACATATACAGAACCTTGATAAGCGAGAGTCCGAGGTCAATCGATAATTTTCTCTCTTATAGAGGTTTCTCATAGATTTCTCGCTTATAGAGGTTCGACTGTCATCAACCTGCTCTTATCCTTATGGAGGGCACAATATGTACTACTCCATACATATCTATCAGACATCATATCTGAATCCACTCCCTACTTACATATATCCTCTTTCACACAATACATCCATACTTTTTTTAGTCATTGCCTTTGTAATCATCCACATTCAATCTCATTACCTTTTTGTTTATGTGGTCATCCCCACATAACACGTCCAAAACCATTTTGCTCCTCAATTTCTCGATCTGGCGTTACTTTCAAACTTCTCCTAATTTACACATTAGGTTCGACTGCATTCAAAATATATTATTAGAGCAAACATGAAAAAAACTTGAATACCTCATCATTCCTGAGAGCGCGCGCTAATGTATCCAACTCTATGGCGACGTCTGTCACCGTGTGGAGACTACGAGACAGGTTCTGTGGTTTCTGCATACTGGACGTTACTGTCCCGATCATAGAGTCCAATTTTAATGCAGTCTGATGGAACTTCTTCTTAAGAACACTGCAACAATGTCATTTGTAAAAATATGATCCTGCTCGAAGGACCATTTGCAATTCTAAGTAAGACTTATTGTTATACTATTTCTGCACTAAGTATTGTTTCTGACATACTAACTTTGTATCTCCTTCCATATGAACGTCACTAGATGGCAGCAGGAGTCGTCTCACATCCACATTGTCTACAACTTTGTTTTGTTCTCCATTGCTCTTTCCATCGCAGTCAAAGTCTTCGAGCTCCTAAAATGTGGGAAACATTTCAAATGTATCAAAGAAGATAGAGCAAAGAAACAAACATTTTAAGTTATTATATATTATGATATTACCTGTATAATTTGGTCAGTTATAAGCATATCTTCAGCAGTGTCCTGTTCCTGCCACGTGGCAAGACGACGGCTTGTAGCTATCATCAGAGTTCGTAGCAGCAGAAGTAGTTTTCTCAGATGTTCTTCCAACCTTCATAAATAGAAAGAAAACTTTAATATCTATTACTTTATACTTTAGCTATTATCATTAACTAAATTCTGAAATACCTGCGTTTCTCCTTAGGATCGTTGATATGAGTGCGCATGCGCAGGTCAGTGACATACGCAGCGAGTGCTGGCGTCAGCTGCTCCGCCGCGCTGTGCGGGGAGGCCGCCACACAGCACAGCGCGGACAGAGCTGCGCTGTCCACCTCTCCCTCGTTACGAGGAATATTCAAACTTGAATTTGGCTGTAGCATGCTGTCTATCTTATTTTCCAGCTCCGTAAGGTCGTGAAGGCTTTCATCCAGAGCCGCGCTGTCAGCTGTCGCCAATGCGCCCTTCACTGCAAACCTGTCAAAAAGAAGATATACGTTAGATTTAGTATTCATTAGTTACTTCTTTAGAAAGAGAGATGATTATCTGTTTCACTTTGTCATATAGCATTAATAAATATAACTTACCTTAACATATTAATGCTATCAGTGAGGTTTTGCATCTTGATTTGTAGAGTTCTCCTTGATTTAATATCATCAATATTTCTTGCAGCGGAAGCCATTCGATGCATAGCTTTCTCGCAAGTCTGTTACATAAAATATTAAGTTTAAATGCAATGCAAACATGACGTCACGTGACGTGACGTGATGGTTAATATCAAACTTACCAAAGCAAAACCTTCGATGCGGAGCATGTCATCCGTGAGACCATCATGTTCGTAGACCTCTGATGGACTCATCGTTTCTTTTACTAGTGCTGACATTTTGTTGCATTCTTCCTTGATCATCTAAAAAGAAAGAATATTCAAAAAGTTTATTAATACATGAGCGAGTATTTAAAGCTTGGTCAGTCTTTTCCTAAATTAAAATATTTCAGTTTATTTTAAGTAAAGTTTACTTGTAGTTGTTTCCTTACCTGAAGTTCTTTTCTACCGTATTCTCCGTTTGTATCTTGAGCCTTTTTAGATAAAGCTTCTATTTTAGCCGCTAGATCTTTGACAAAGTCCTAAAATACAACAAAGATGATAAATAACTCAGAGACTTTTTGCGTTTTAATTTGCAATATGTGGCAGAATGCATCCAAGTCGGAGAAGTAAGAAATATTACCATAACATCAACGACATTGGTCTGTCCCTCGCTACCACCATGTCTGCTCTGCAGTACCATCCTCTGTAGGTCTTGAGTTGCGTTCTCGACTCTACGAAGCTTATTTATATCCTACACAAATAATGATTATGAAATCATGCTAAATTAAATTTAATTAATTTCTTCTAAAATTCAGTAGATCTATCTCAAATTCCATAAATAAACTTACGTCAGGAGATTGTTTGGAATATGAATTAGCAGCATCCAATTCTTTGATAGCAGCGGCCAGTTTGTCTGCATCCTGCGCGTATCTTCTGCGCTCCTCCATCGGTAGGTCAGAACACTCCATGTTTGACTGAAATACATTGCAATTATTATCATCCTGCCTTTTGCAATGGAGAGTAAGGACAGGGTTGTTTTATTACTACATATACACTAGGATAAACCCCCGTATTCGAAATTATTCTTAACAAGAATTTTCCTTTATAACATCAACTAAAAGCTTTCTCTTATGATGAAAATAAAAACTATACCTTATAATTATACAAAATATCTGTAGCCAGTTGTCGCATCGGGGAATTCTCCACCTTTATCATAGTTTCTTTCCTTCTTCTAACCAACGTTTCATTCTTAATATCATGTTTCAGATCATCCAACAGTTTCTTCAGACTCTTAGATTCAACTTCTAAATCATTTATTGAGGTTGACTGTTCCGGTTGTGAAGACAGAGGTTTCCAAATAGATGAATATTGTTTGACTTGCGACGAGAGCTGATCTGCGGCCGTCAGCAGAATACTCTGGCTTTCTGGATATTGGATCAGCGGAGCTACGAGCTGCAAGGAGAGCTTTTATTGAAACTAGCATAATATTTAAAAGCATTACTACACAGAACTCCAGTATCCAGAACTTTTGTCATCGTCGTGAGCATAGACTGAATGTAGTAAGTTGAAAAGAGATGTGTGAAGTGGCTGGTGGTGGCTGACCTTGGTGACGTAGAGCAGTTTGCTGGCGGCGTCAGCGCAGTGCGTGCCGGCGTCAGCCAGCTTGTCAGCGAGCGGGCCGGCGAGCTGTGCGGCCGCCGCCCCGCACGTCGCCAGCCGGGACGCGCAGTCACCTATCACTTTTGCTCGACCGAGCACCTGATATTGTATGTTATACATTAATATATTGTGAAATTGCAACTCTCAACCAAAGGCAGCCCTTTTCGTCGTTCTATTTGCAGCGTGACTACGATTATGTACGCATTCGTAGTTCACCCGAGATTGTATTCCTACCTGTCTTTCTTGTTCGGGGTCCACTTGCGAGTCGATACAGTATAGAAGTTTAGCAGATTTGTTCGCGAAGTCAACTGCAGCTTCATTCAATTTCTGTAAAGTTTTATTTCCATTAGTAACTTATTCGTCTCACATGATATTAGAAATAATACGAATATAGGCAATTAAGCAAAAAGAACTCACTTCATTATTATCTTTAGCAGTTCTACATAAAGTTTTAGTCGCCTCGCACAGAGCTAGACTGTCGTCAAGGATTGGTTTGCCTTGGAGATGTGGACAGTTGTAAAGGTCAGATGTATCTGAAACATGAAATCAATTATTATTACTAGTATCCAGTTCCTTTAAAAATATATATTTTGCATTTTTTTCATCTCCTAGTTAATTTCCATACCTTTAACAATAGTCGGGAACAGTTCAGCTAAGTTCGTTGCAGATTTAGACGCCACTTTGTAGTTAATTCTCTCTGGATCTAAAATTAAGTTTCAACAAAAAAAATAGTATAAATATATAACGAACGAATGAAATAAAGCCATGAAGACATCAGAAAACGATGAGATACAAATTCATGTGCAAGCTAGAGTTAATAAGGAGTACAGACCATTGCACAAGACGAGATGTGATGCGGCCATGTTGGCCAGCAGCAGCTTCCTCTGCAGGCGCGCCGCCGCACCCTCCCCCGCATCCCCCGCACCCTCCCCTGCACCCCCCCGCCCCACCTCCACACTTTCTATGTCACGTATCTAAATATCAATTTTAAATATTAATAAAGACTAAATTTGTTAAGTTGGACAGTAATTTCAAAAAATAGTAGTATAAGTGATCCTTAGGGCAATGTTCTACATCTATTCTACATCTGGCCTTTCTTGAGATGCCTTCTAACTTATACTATAAGTAAGATTCGATTTATTATTACCTTTTTGATTTCCTCTTCAGTATCTTCGATGTTCTTTATCGCTGCATCAACACACTTGGCAAGCTGTTGTTTTTCTTCTTGTACTCTGTGGTCCAAGAAAGTTGCTCTTTTTGGTACTGCTGGTTTTGCTGGCTTAAGGGTTGTATCTATAATGATAAGAACAGATTACATCTTCGCATCCAGTGTACTCACAGTCGAGGACATTATTTTCATACCCACTTCGGTGAATTGTTTGACTTTCTACTAGTTCTTGTTATGGCAACATAACTCTTATAGTGACTTTGTTCGTATGCTTGATTTTCTAGTCATAAAATATACATACCGGTTGCATCTTTACAAGCTGCTGTCAACTGCTCAATCGCTTTCTGTAGTTCCTTCTTCTTGTATGAAAGTTGGTCTTTTGTGTTCTTTTGTTGTGGATCCTGCAGCAGCGCGGTCCACGTGTCTTCCACCTTGTCAGCCAATGTTGACACCTCCTCAGCTGATCTTAGCAGGGTTGACTGACATTTTGGATCGTCTATAGTTGAAGCTGTCAGCTGTAAAGTGTGGAGGAAGAGATTTACAAGATTGTTAGTATGGATTCAAATTTGTATGATTTATCAATTATCAGACATTTTTTTTTTTCAAATAAAATGACTATGGCTTCTACCTTTGTCAGCTATGTTTTAGAAAAAGTATTAAGATTGAAAATTTTTGTCGTTGTTGATGTTGGGGAAATTCTTAATGCTTAATTTAAGATTTTCTAGATGTGTAGGTAACCTGTGCGAGGGTGAGCAGCAGCTGCGCGGCGTCCACCAGCCTCACCCCCCTCCGGTCCAGCAGCGCACCCCCCTCCCCGCCCCCCACCTCCCCCACCGCCACCTCGCACACCTGAGACAGCAACACTGTCGCCTTGTCGCACACTGACTTCGACAGCTCCACTATCTGGAAATTACAAGTCTTCTCTCTCACACACACATATAGACATAAATATTTATTTCACATATGTATATGTCAGAGTAAAGTATATAACTCACCATGTTTTCTCTTTTGATGTCAGCTCGTGGATTGTAAGTATAACAAAGTTTACTTGAAGCGTCCACCAGTTTGGTTATCGGTTCGTATGCATTCTGAAACATTTAACATTTGTAATAAATATATAATCAAGTTTAAATAAGAAAAAAATAACCACGAAAAGGTAACATAAGAATTTTCATTTCTCAGTTTCATCATTATTTTATGTATTAACGTTGTGTTTATTTCTCCAGTAGTAAGATAGAGTGCCCCACTTCATTAACATCTTACTTTAGCTTGTCCCAGCTCTGATTCAAGATATATCTCTCTGGTTGCTTCACACAGCGCCTTCAATGAATCCATCATGTTTTTCCTGCCAGCGCCATCTAGTGGTAAAGCATTTGAATCTGAAATATACGAGCATTTTTAATAGGAATCAAATAACTTTTAAACTAGTAATAGTCTTACTAATATTATAAATGCGATAGTTTAGATGTATGGATGTTTGTTTGAAGATATCTCCAGAACGGCTGAGCAGATCTCAATTAAATTTGACATAGATTTAGAGCATAGTCTTAAAGAACATTAGTGCTACTTGTTATGTTTTTTTTTATTCCGCGCACAAAGTCGCTGACGACCTTAGGAATTAAATAAAGCTTAATAAATTAATAAATAAATTAAAATAGTATCTAAATATATTAATATATTTAACAATTATAATATTTAAATCAATAATTACCTTGTATAATCTGTGGAAGACATTCATTTATAATGTTCAATGCTTCATCCGCTTTATTGTAATCGGGATTTGAAGGATCTGTACAAAAAAATACTTTCACCTTTAGAAAACATTTCTATCTATATCAGTTTGAGTTTGACTATCCGAGTGAAGACTGCTAAGTTTAGTGAATGGATCTTATTATCAACTTTTCCATAAAATTCTATCAACTGTCATATCTGAAATTACTCTCTTATACTTCACACAAATCAATATTTCAGTCTTCCTGTGCTGCAGCCATCCACATTCAATCTCATTGTTTTCTAGTAACAGCAGTGTTGCTATAAGAAATTGGATGGTTTAACCAATTACCAGTGGAATGTATCAGTGATGCTATCGCTGCGTTCAAGTGTGCCAGCCGCTGTGCCAGTCGGCGTTGACGGTCAGGACCTGAACCTGATGCAGGAACTGCTAAAGGCTGTAAACAGAATACATTAACATATGAAGCAGCAATATCCCAATGGTTAAGGCTACAAATATCTGGTCACATAGTCAAATCCCGCATTGTTTTATAGGATAGAGGCAAAAGAAAAGCGGATGGCTTAAAATTATTTGATCCAACACACAAGGAAACCACAAGATTTACAGCTGTGTTGTCGGCTTGTAAAAGAGCTCTTTTCTTATGCCATTCGACTTTTATCGTGAACCATGTCCTAGTACAAGTACAAAGCTTAGTTACAAGAAATATTACTAAACTAACAAAAAACTACATATTTAATTTTTGAAATTACCTTTTCTAATCCATTTTTAGCTTCAAGTATGCTATTCTTTGCTTCTGATAACGTTGATATGAATTTAAGTCTCTGCTCTTCAGCTCGCATCACACCAGGTCCTGTTATATAAGATTTTATTAAAAAGACTATTCCTTTCTGCTGCTAATAGTTAAAATCTTACTAATACTATAAATGCAAATGTATAGACGGATGGATGGACAGAACGGCTGCATTAATCTGCCTGAAATTTGGCATACATGTAGTAACAAAGTCGCGGATGACAACAAGTTTTAAATGTTTGGAAACTTCTTACCGTCAATATCTTCACAATGAGCCATTGGAACTTCAGCATCCGATTTGCTCGAAGCTTTCGTCATGGACGTCAACCATCGCTGCGTCTCGCCGTCAGAACCTTGTAACGGCGCTTGACCGCGCATCTCTGCAATTAAAAATGTATTTCTAATACGAACATTCTTAATATCTACAGAGTTCTTAGTTCATTTGCATTTTACACTAAGTTGATTCCGTACCATCAAATTGTCTATATGTTTGTCGCAAATCTTCCAAGTCCGTATCCAGCTTGTTTTTCTTGACCTCTAGTTGTTCGACTATGTCCTTGTACTCGGGGTCTTGTTTAATTGGGCTGTAGGCGTCGGCCAGCGCACAGGACGCGGCGCTGACTTGCGCGATGGCCACCACAGAGCTATTCTCGTTTCCACGAACTCTAGGAGTCTGTACTTCTTCCTGTAGTTGTTAACAATAGTATTACTTAAGAAACAATGTTAACTATTAACGATTTAATCGATTTGGGAATTAAGATTAGCGAGAAAAATGTTTTTTATTAGACCAGTAAATAAATTGGCATATTTCATCTCTACTTATAAACATATTTTTAATTAAGTTGTAACAGATTTGCAGTGAAACCTGCGGCTAACAATAACGCGTGCTCTTATATTATCCGACTCGAAGGACCTAAATGAGAACTTACAGCTATAGTGGAGTACATGTGTTGTACTGCATCCACCAGCTCCTCCCCGCACCTCATCAGACGATCCCCTTCCTCGTCCTCCATCCCTGCAGCCAGGATGCTCACGTCATCGGCCATCTCTGATGCAGTGGTGTACATTTCCTTAGATAAACGATTCATCTGCAAATAATACAAACACATTTAACACATTCAACACCGACTCGCGTTTCAAGTAATGACCACGTCACTGTATATAGAGACAAAATCTTAAACTTTGTCTCAATTTTTTTTTCATTATCTTTTTTAAAAAAAATCTAGGAAGCGATCTCCTTAAGTCTCAAAGATAGCAAAGCGCCCGCTACCCATAGACACCTGCAATTTCAGATGGGATGCCTACTTTTAATCGACAAAGGAAACGAAGCACAGAAAGGAAATATTTCCCCTTTCTATGCGTCCACTCCTTCGTCATATCACCTTCTACGTCCCATTCATTCCTTACAAGAAAACAGTGGAAAACGAAAGAGGACTAAAATATAGTCTGCGACATGTCCGGCACACGGCATCAGACTGTACGCGAAATTGCTGCCACTTAACGCATGTCTTCTGTGTATGTGGTCTTCTTCTGTATTGCGCTGGTCAACCCGGCTCATTCATGCAGTAGACGTTGCTGGAGTCTACCACTGATATTGTTAATAGACACTATATAAACACTTTATTACACATACTTTAACTAAATCCGCATTCGGCGCAGTTCTTTTGACTCCTACATCCCTCCTCCTACGAATATGTATTTCTTCTGTGGGCGCATCTCCATCTTCCTCTGAAATGAAGAAAAATATACATAGATTCTTATAAAGGTTTATGGATAATAGTAATAAAGAAAGCATCAGGATGATTGAATGTGGATGACCAAGTCGTGGAAGATCGAAGAAAGGAAGGAAAGAGAAATCTGTAAGAAGAGAGATGCGAAAGAAGATATCCGTAAGTGCGGAGTGAATTCAGATTTTCCAAACTTAGTAGAGAGACTTTCATGCAATATAGCTAAAGATAAAAACTTACCTTTAAAAGTCTTACACATCGTTCGTAAAGAATCCAAAGCTTTTTTCAATTGTTTTTGTTCCTCTTCAAGATTTTCCACATCTTCTTTATGTTGTGGTTGACGCTTGAGAGGAGACCACGCGGCCACAAGATCTGCAGACGCCGAAGACACGTCGTCTATTGCAGACAATAAGGAGTCCTTGCAAATGGGATCGCTTAACGAAGGCTCTAATATCTGAAAGCATTGATCATCTTCTTAGTATTATAATCATGGTAAAGAATGTAACTCTATTTATCTAACAACAATCCTTATTGTTACGAGTCTTCTAAAATTTACACTGTTTTCCTTTGTGTTCTAAAAACTACTTTCGAAGCATTTAACGAAATAGAAAAAAAAATCACACTTAAATCTATTCCTTGTTCGATTTGGAAAAAAATTACCTGTGCAGTGGTGAGCAAGGCTTTAGAAGCATTCACCAGTTTCACACCGCAGTCATCCAAGTGAGCTCCATCATCACCCCCAACTTTCATCCCCAAGTTGTGAACATCAGTGAGTAACTTGGAAGCTTTATCACACGCATCAGTTGTTAAATCCATTATCTGAAGATATACAATTATAAGAATACTTTAACCGGCTAAATTAATATCTGACCTTTAAGATCTATCTTTAATAAATATTTTAATGTATGAAATAAGGAACAAAAACAATTCTGTTGCTCTAATTGATTACCACTAGTTTCTGGGACCAGAATCCCCGTTGAAAGTGTATGTCGGTCAAAAATCTCTGTTTGTCAAAGATGACGGAGATGACGATATATTTTATAGCAGAGATTTTGGTATCAAAAAGCCGCGGTTACAATATTAATGGTGCAAGATACAAATATTTTACACTTACGTTGTTCTTCCTTGAAGGTGATCGTGGATTGAAAACGTAGACCAAGTTTCCAGAAGCGTCGGCAAAATTAAGAGCAGTTTTATTAATAGCCTTGAAAATTAAGAACAGTTTAATTAATAGCCTTGAAACTGAGAACAAAAATTACATATAGACATAAATTGCGAAGAGACTTATTAACCAACATATGACTAGATAATAGACGAGTCGTTATGAATGTACATAGATCGAACTGAATACCAATATTTTAACAAATAACCATAATATTGTATTAATTATACTATATGTTAGCATTAACCTGGACGTCTCCTTGTTCAGTGAAGTTGCAGATGTCTCGTGTTGCTGTGAACAAGTTCTGCAGTTCTCGCAACATGGCGCGCCGCGATACTTCCTCACTTGTACCGCTTAATGATTGCGTCTCTGTTAAGAACAGAAAAGATTCTGCCTTTTTATTTATTCATTCTCAGAACGAAGAGAATGCTATAATTGTAATGGACTTTAGAATTTGTCAGAGTGGATTATTGCAAATAAATTATCGTATTTAATAATTAACTGACCGTTTATAACATCAGGTAACAGTTGAGAAATTTTGGCAATACATTGTTCTGCTGCATCATAGTCCACGTTATTGGAATCTGAAAAAAAACACTTTATTAATAACCTAAGAATAGGGGGAAAAGGGACAAAAAACAAGAATATTTCCCCTTCCTGAATACCTTCTGTTATTAAGCCATTACTTTGTCAAATTACTAACCATGAGTAGCTCGCACAAGAGATGCGATTGCAGCATTGAGCTGTGCCAGCCGGTCTGCCAGTCTGCGCTGCACAGCTGTTCTGTCTTCAACTTCTTTCGGCATTGGCTGCAAAGCAAACAATATCACAACGTCCCAGTTTTTATTCTACTATGTGAGGGCGCGAGAGGTTTTCGTGCATCACATCGATCTAATTCTTATTTATTTACGTCACCTTACACTAAATTAATCAATCTCTTGTTGTAAAGAACACTATGTTATCTCTGCAAATAGAATGAGCGGGATAGCAATATTGTTGTAATACATGTGTTAAGACAGTTTACACTGACCTTCTGTAACATTTTTTCTGCGTCTAACATTTTATTCTTCGTGGAAGTCATCGTCGCGACAAACTTTAGCCGTTCTTTTTCCTTTTCTTCGGATTGTGGAACTTGTGACTTATTATTTTCTTCACCTAGAATGCAATAATTTAACATTACAACTTACATACTTAGTTTCTAATAACTTGAAAATATAAATTATAAGAAGAAGAAGTAATTTTGTTCACGAGGTTCCGTACCTCGAAAGAAAAAAAAACGGAACCCTTATAGAATCACTTTGTTGTCCGTCCGTCTGTAGTCCAGACCCTTTTTTGATTATATACACAAAAGATGAAGTGAAATGTAATTATTTCCAAGTTCTGTTCGATGAGTGTCGGAGGTCAGATTCTACTCCCTTACCTTTCCTTAAGGAAGGATGGATAAGGGAAGATGAACATACCAAATTTCTGGCAAACGGATCTTAAATTGTTAAGAGCGGTTTCCAGATCCTCTTGTCCCTTGTGTAGATTTTGTCGCAGTTTATCCCGCGAGGTTCCTTGAAGCAGCGGCGGCCATGTGTGTGCCAGGCGCCGGCTCGCACTCGTCACGTCCTCCGCCGCGCACACCAACGTGGACTGACAGCGAGCGTCGCAGAAAGATGGCGCTGTTATCTATTTACAAAAACTTTATCAAAATGTTGTCTTTTACATTGTCTTCCTGTATGTTGTGATGTGAACCTGCGCGGTGGTGAGCAGAGCCTGCACCACGTCGACCAGCCTCGCCCCCAGCAAGTCCAGCTGCTGCCCCTCCTCGCCCCCCACCTCGTCCACCAGCTGGTTCACGTGCGTCAGCAGCTCGGAAGCTTCCTCGCAACATTTCTTCGCTAGTTCGATCATCTATCACATTAACAAAATATATTTCATTGCCAAGACAACCTTTGTATTGGAAAAAAATCACGTAAGCTTTAACTGTTCAGTATGAATGTACAGTTTTAAAACGGAATTTGTATAGAAAGCTTTGTAACCTAAATATTAAGATTATTTCTCATACCATGTTCTCTTTCCTGGGATCAGTACGAGGTATAAAAGCGTAGCACAGCTTAGAGGAATGTCGGGCGTAGTTTGATGCTGCGCCATTTGTCTCCTGAAATCATAGATATTGTGGTGAGTTTTTACAAAATTGTGCAGAACAAGAGAAACAATAGGTGCATCTCATTTGTATTTTCAGTTCCGAGTATGCAGTAAGTAATAAAAGTTTTATAGAAGTACAAATTGGGGATAACTAACTTGCATTGTATTATCTTCGGTGGAAGCACAAACGTCTTTAATGGCTTCAAGCAGTCCGCGTGTCTCATTCATCTGCGCTCGTCCTGTCTTCTCGTCTTTTGCGTTGCTTATTACTTTTATATCTAGATAAAAAAACATAAATCAATATAAAACTATTTAATTTCAATGTTATGACACATATTGAAATTATTAAAGCACAAGATTGTGATGTTAATAAGGACCTCACGAACCAAACTACATTTTATCGATATCGATATATCGATCATAAGCGGTCTCATTATTGGGCTCATTAAATCGGTTTCCATTTTCCTCGTGTGTCATAAAATTGAACCTAAAGTTTCCAAAAGGGACTAACATAAAATAATAATATTAGTTGAAAGAAAAGAGAACTACTCATTAAGAAAAAGACAAAGAAAGCTATCAATGTGACTGGACTTTAACCTAATAATGTTTGATGGCATATAAATTATGTTACCTCGAACAAGTTCAGGTACAATATCAGACACAAGAGTGACTGCCTCTTCTCCTGTCGCGTAATCTGGGTTCTCCCTGTCTGAAAACATAAGTTACAACTTATTCAGATATCTACAACTTTTCCATGCTTAAGTATAAACATTTCTTTGACATTAAACAAAACTATCTGATTGTTTCACAAAACAAAAATAACGGTGGGTTTTTGAAAACTATATCCCCATTTAAAACATATTGTCATCTCAAACTTGTCAAAGATAATGACAGGGATGTCAACATGTTTTTAGCGAGGATTATGGTTTCAGAAACCCACCGTTATTTTTGTTTTATTACAACAAAATTTAATATTTTCTTCTCTGACCTGAAGGTCTTCAATAATTGAATGATAACTCACCAGCCGTAGCTCGTATAAGACTGGCTATGTAAGAATTCAACAAGGACAGCCGATGTCCCATCACAAGTTGCAACTCCTTGCTCTTGACACCAGAGCTCACTGGACAAGGCTGGATGTAATAATAAAATCGATACGTTATTAAGTATACAGTGTTATCTTTAACATTAACCTCAAAGGTGAATAAAAACAAAACAAAAAAATTAAAAAGTACACTTTTTAATCAATCATCCTATCGCGGACGAAAAGTAAACAATTTCTTGTTTCAAAACTTTAAAATTAATCATCAATCTGTACGAAAATACCCAAAATGTTAAAAACCCGACTGAAAGGGTTTTTGCATGACCATAATTGGATTATTTTTTAAATACGTACCTTGTCTAAATCCTTTTGTGCGTCTGATATTTTATTCATAGTATTCTTGACGCTGGCGATGAACTTGAGACGTTCCCTCTGCTTCACTTCAGTGTCGTCATCTTTACAATCTTCTGCAAACAAAGTATAGTCTCCATCATTACTTGATTTACTTACCAAATATCGCCCGCGACTTGATATACGTGGAAAGAAAAATATAATCGCCTATGTATTCTTCCAGAAGATCCACTGGGCCGTTCTTTAGATATGTAATAACAAACATCCATACATTCATCCATACGTTCATAAAGGAAAATGTTCTACAAGTTTTTGTCTACTACAATAAAATGTATTTATCCATACTCAAGTAATTTAACATACTTTGAGGAAATTTTACCAAGTAGTGGGCAGACACAGGATCTTAACCTTATATTACTTGCTCATCGCGATGGTACGAGACTTTACCTGATAAATCAGTGTAAGCCTGCTTCAATCTATCCAATGCCTTCATCAGATCCAAGGTGTGAGCCTGCAATGTCTCATCGTACATGGCGCAGCCCGGCTTCTCCACCAGCGGCTTCCAGGCGAGGGCGAGGCGGTGCGCGGCCGAGGAGAGCGCCTCCGCCCCCGCAGACATCGCGCTCTGACAGTGCGGCTCCGTTATAGATGGTGCTGTCAGCTGGAATCACATAGATATATACTAAGAAAAACATAATTATTGTCCCTACTTTTATTTCAATAAATCCTCTGTATGATTGGAAACATAGTAGTAGTTAGTTCTGTTTACCTGTGAACATGCTAGCAGTATATTGGCGTGGTCGCTGCAGCTCGCGCCGACCGCCTCCAGGTCAGCGGCGCGCGGGTCCTCGCCCGCCAGCCTCACCAGCTCGTGCGTCTTCAGCAGCAGCAGTGCGGTCTTGTCTCCCACGTCACGGGTCAAATCCAGGATCTGGTACAGTTCAGTCATTAATATTCTGTTAACTAGGACCAGGCCAGATAAGGCCTTCTACGATATTTGATCCATCATTCAAATCCGTCTACTTCGCGCCAACAAAACATAATTCATGGCAATTAGAATGTAATCCTACAGACTATAATAAGCTTATATGAGAAGAGAAAGAAGCTGTTAAAGCAGATGCCAGAAAAACAATTAAGTGTGACACTTTTTTACATTGACTTGGAGCACTTCACTTATCCTCACCGGGTTAGATAAATTAATCTTTCTATAGCTTTATACTAGTGTTCAGATATGTTGACGGCTCTTGACATCGCGCAGGTCTTTGCGCGGAACACTATTTTAGGTATAACGGAACGCAGCGTGCTGATAACCTTGGGCCGCCAGCATATTTGAAAAAAACTATACTTACTACAAATATTTTATAAAACAATATATCAGTTTGTACATAAAAATATGACTCAACACCCCATGGCGGGGACATATGAATATGACGAGTACAAAATAAAAATAGAATATTTACCTCGTTTTCCTTATCAGACACGGAGCCCCGACCTAAAGTGAAGATCAACTTGTCGGAAGCCTTAGCATACTTAAGTGCCAGCTCTTGCATCTTCTGTATACATAATACAAACAAAAAACTAGTAAGTAATTATATTTTCAATCGTAATATCATATACATACGTATTCGTAAAAAAAAGTGCAAAACCTGTAAAAATTTAAAATTCTATCTTCTGTTTGTTAAAACAATCTTACATTTCCACTGGTTTCTAAATAAGACCCAAAGTGTATATTTCTCATTCTATAACTAATCTCCTAGCAATGAACACAGAGAGTGTGTCAGTGAGTGTGACAGTGTATGTAACAAAGTAACAACCTCCTTGTCGTTATCTCCATTCAGCGCGCAGATGTTCCTCGTGGCATCACACAGCGCCCGCACTCTGCTCAATAAAGAGAGACGTGACTTGTCCTCCTTCACGCTGCCCAGCGCCTTCACATCTGATATACAGAAATTATTACAAATGAAAAAATCAAAAACAACTATGAGATAATTATATAATCTTACTGACTGCATCTGTGATGGTATGGGGAAGATTTTTTTTACTAAAACTAGCAATTTCCCGGGACTCCGTCCACGCGGAGTTACAAAACAGATAATCAGTAGTCTATGTGTTCTTCCACACTATGTTCTATATGTGTGCCTAATTTCATGGAGATCCGTTCAGCCGTTCTGGTGATACAGGAATAGTTTTTAGGATGGACATCACAATACACTTTGTTGTTAACTTACCTTCAATCAATTCAGGCAATAATTCATCGATCGTGGTCATAGAAGTAATGGCCGCTGTGTAGTCCAGGTTACTTGAATCTGGAAAAAATATATGTAAATTACACTTCTGCCAAAACTTCACGATATTTTACAAATCAAAATATTATAGTTACCAGCTTGTGCGGACATCAAGAGTGCTACAGCCGCACTCAGTTTGCCGACCTTCTTCCTCGCCTCTCGCTCCAGCTCTGCCAGCTCGTGACCTTCGGGAATCGAACCCTCGAAAGTCTGTGAAAATTTACAAGGAGTATTATAGTATACAGTCCTGGAACACTATCCCCGTTTATTAACGAATGGCAAGATAAGGGTTACCGTGTCCAAAGCGTTTTTAGCACCGTCTACAGCTTTGCAGGCGTGTGAGGCAGCAGCCAGGAAAGAAGCTCGGCGCAGTGTGGCCTCGGTCTTCTCGTCTTCTATGAAACTTTTGTGGGATCGCTAGAAAAGTGTAAGGTGTACATATTGAATATTTGTCAATTTATTGTCATCCAGTAATGTGAGCAAAGTTGCTTTGAATACGTCTTATGTCCAACTAGTTTCGAAAAGAACTGTTTTATAATATATTAAATTAATTACTCTCAATATCTTGCTTCGTCGCTTAATGCCAGGATCCAGGGAGCAGTACAACTGAGAACCGTGGCCAACGATCTCCTCCGCAGCCAGTTGTGCTGCATCCAAACTCTCAGGTGTTCCCTGCAATAGTCACAGTCTGTGATCGTATAAACTCGCACTAAACCAGGATTTAGGCTAAAGATGGAAAAAACTTACATTCCTTGAAGATTAACTTATGTTTAATCGATTTATCTAATGTGCTCACATATAGCACTAATAGCATTGTTATCATCATATCATCATCATACTTAGGTCTGTCTCTTATAGAACACAGGCTTTTCCCAATGCCTTCCACCATCTTATGGCTTACCAAAATCCTACGTAATAGATGAACAGAACCACTTTACTCACAAAGTCTTTCTGGTGAGATGTATCTATGAAGTCTTTGAAGCTTGCACAGATCTCGTCCAGTTCCGAAAGAATCTTTTTTCTCACTTCCTCGTTATCTTTTTCGACACTCTTGTGAACACCTGCCATGAAAAAAAATTAAAACTAAGTAATAGGAGCATTTTTTAATGGCAGAGAACAAACGATCAGTGGCTCACAAAATGTGTTTCGACCGATGATGCCAGAGGAATTGCAGATGAGTTGTTGACGTTAGAGCGCTTTTCTTGAAAGAACCAAACTAAAAATAAATGGATTCTTACCTTCAATGATGCTGTTCATGTCTTCTTCAATGATCGCAGACAGCGCGTGTACTTTTTTCACTTTATCTTCCTTCTTGAAATGTGGATCTAAAATATATAACAATAGTTAACAAGGTGGAACAAGTTCTCATGGGTGGAAACATAATTTTTACTAATCGATGATCAATGATTTTACGAGCTAAATAACAATTTAACTGTTGGTTTCTGAGACAAAAATCTCTGTTTAAAACACATCATCATCCATATCTCTATCTTTGTTAAAGCAGTAAAAAGTCTTGAAGCAATATAGATTAAAATGAAAATTTTCTGGATAAAATTAACCACACTTACCAGTTAAAAATGCTACCGTCTCTACACAGTAAGTATTTATACGATTAAGTTTTTTCAGATATTCCATAGGATTATTTCTAAGTTCACCCATCTGTCCAGTCTGTAACAGTAAATAATATATGTACAAAACAACGGCTTGTTAATGTTACTGGAATAAGAACAATAATATAAATGCGAATGTTTAGATGTATACATAGCTGTTAAAAGTGTCTCCGGAACAGCTGCATGGATCTCTCTCAGATTTGTCATAGATGTATAACACAGCCGGAATGAAGATGTATAGTTACTTTTTTTTTCTTAAGTCGTGAACAAAAACTAGTGTTTAATAAGTTGAAATAGACTTACAACTCCCCTCTGCTGTGTGACCATCTTATTCGTTGAAATAATTTGCTGCACTGTCATTAATTGCGTGCCCTGCTGTGCTTCCGTACCTACGGACATTTTCAAATAATTTAAAGGAATCTAACAAAAGTTGTTAAAAGAAGATTTTATATTTCAAAAATTTCAACATAATTCTGGTACCTCTCTCATAATGTTACTTAATTAAATCCTAACTCACCTTGTACATATGGTATAAGTTTGCTCGGTCCTACATAAGACTGCTCAACCACTTTCATCGGAACTACATTTTGAATTATATGGCCCCTGAAAAATAACAACTTGTTACTAAAAAAATCGAATGGCAACTGGTGAAATCAGTTAAATAATTTAGGCTCCAGGAGGTCACAATACAGTCAGTGGATCAAAAATACCATGAAATAAAGACTTACTTAGAAGACTGCACGTTGTCTTCGCAGATGAACTCCCCCTCGCTGGGATTGACATTGTACGGAGCTGCCAGCGAGCGGTGGATGATGTCGATGTAACCCTGCAGGATGTCGCGGATGCGGTGCGCCTCATTCGTCTTCACGGTGTACTGCTTGTCACTAACAAGAAAGTCGAATTTAATTAACCTTCGAAATCAATAATGCTTCATCATAGAACAGTTAAAATTACCTGTAGTCACCAAAGTCCAAGGTAAACATCTCTTTACCAGCTCGGAACGTCCTGACTTGCGTCAACTTCCAGACTTGCAGGATCTCCTTGGTGACTTCGTCAAGTCGCAGGATCGACTCTGCGTTGATGCCCAGCAGGCGGGGCACCAACTTCTTCTTGCCTTTTTGTTGCTCCTAGTAAGAAAGGAAAGAGAACAAAAGAATTCAAAAAATGCTAGAACTTTTCCCCTTTTTCCAACTATCCCAAAGTCATGTCATCTCAAGGCTACCAACCTTAACCAAGAAGAAAGTAACACCATAAGTGGGCAGCTCTCTTGCGTTCTTGGTGTAGAGATGCTTAGCCTCGAGCGGACTGAGACCTTGGTGCTTGGAGTGCTCGCGCAGCACCTTGCGCTCCACCCCCCATGAGCTCGCATACTGCTCCGGGAGAAACTCTTTCAAGCTGCACCATAACAAAGAAACAAGTTACTTTTCCTAAAAAAAACTAATTCGACAAATGAGCAATAACATATTAGCCATAATTTTAAAGTAGTAGAATTTGTTTATCTATAATAATTATCAAGCTAACTCACTTTTCAAGAAAACCAGTTTTATGTTTGTCTTCCTGGAAGTCACCGTACTGCACTTGACACTGTATCCCCGCAAACTCGATAGCTGTAAATTAAAATAAGTATGGTTTCTATCTGTGAAGGTTTTTATAAAAAGTTTAAAAATGATGCTGAATTAAAAACAAAGGATATCCAGAAGCTAGCCATTTTACCCAAGCTAGAGAACAACTTCTGTCAAAGTCTTCATAGTAATATTCGTACTCTACCAGCACTTTCAAATCTAATAACGTAGTATCCCTCCTTACCTTTGTCCTCTGTGAGCACCTGCCGGCCGTCCAGGATAGCATCCCGCGTCTGCACGTACAGCAAGTTGAGTTGCACAGGGTCGCGGGCGTCGACGTTGCGGTCGGAGTAGAACAGCCGTCTTTTTAGTAGCAGCGTCTGCTGAGCGTCCACTCCGATCTCACGGAGCGTCTTATGTTGCTCCAGCCACTCCACTAAACAACACCAAGTATTAATCACTTCGTAAATTTCCTTTTCTTCTTTATTAAACTCAATGTGGAAAAGTTTTAATATGATATTACCGTTGTCATCAGTTTTGAGTTTCTTGCTAAGCTGTTCCATCTGGGCGTCCTTCTCTCTTGTCTGTTGCTTCCTCTTGAGGGTAAGAGTGCCGGTGGCAGGTTTCTCTTCTTGAATTTGCTGCACTTCCTCAAAACACTACATTCAAAAGATAAATAAAGAGTAAGTGGGCTTTGATGTACATTCCCGGTACAGGGCAAGACTTGGACCAAGATATAATTGTTTACTCACCAAACCGTATTCATCATGGTTAGTGATACCTATCTTATCACATATCACCATCATCAAGTCACCGACACATTTGGATTCATCTATCTGCATCGTTTTAACTGAACCTGAAACAGAGCACGATTAACTAGGTGTAACTCTCAATTTGTTTTAGATTGCTGTTTGAGATTCTTCCACTGGTGAAGTCTTCTTTTGCATCACATATCAACTAACTACCATAGTACAATATTTAACTTTCCTCCAAAACTATGGCATCGTCTTAATCTATTTCCAAAATTTTCCGTAGTTAGGAAAACGGGTGATGAGCAAAGGCTAGAAAGGGACTTCATGAATTTTGACCAAAGATCGTGTTTTGTTTTGTGTAGGGCCTTAAAAACTGGTCTTAAGAAATCTAAAGATGCAGTATCACCTACCATCTAACATCCTGACTCTGAGATTTCGATGCTTGCAGAGGTAGAGCAATGAGTCACCATCTCGCAGCATGTAGTAATCCAGCGGGCGGTGGCTCTCCAGCCACACCCCCGACAGTTCGTTGTCAGCCGATGTCAGGAACAGACCGTAATCTGTACATCAATCAGTAAATTCATAAGAACTATTCCATTTGGACACCGAATAGATTTCATCCTTTTCATGTTCTTTTAACCCACCTTTACTTTTGTCATCGATGATAAGCTTTTCCTTGACAATCTCCAGCGCTTCGATGACGCGTGTCGTGGTATCAAATAGTACCGTCCGCGTGATGGCGCCACCGTCCTGCACGATCTTTAGGGAGAGCGGAGCCATGGTTGTGGCCCTCTCTATAAAGATGATAGATTTAAAAACTGTTTTTTTGTTTATCCTGCTTAATTTAACACATTTAATGTAATTACACTGCGCCGTGGGGATGTATACGGCCGAGTACACAGCGCCGTGGACACACACTACATTCTGTACGAAAAACTGCATACAGAGATGCATCTTGTAATGCAATCAGCATTAAATGTGTAAAGGGTATTGCGCCCTTCTATATGAATGTGGATTCGCAGGGAAGTATTAATAAGAAATAGGTAAATAATATGTTTTTTCTATATAGTATAGATACATTTGTTCTTAGACAAGTTATATATAAAGTTACTTCTTGTAACTTAAAAGTACAAGTTTATGTTGTGCTTCCCCAGTCTAGCTTAAACTTCCAACATCTTTATTCGAAAAATTCTTAAAATTCTGGTACAATTAATAATTAAATTATTAAAACTATTGTAAAATCAAATTACTTACATGTTTATGGAAAATCCCTAATATTATCCTCACAAAATTATTTTTAAATCACACAAACTTTACCTCCACAACACATAAACACAACACACGGAATGACACAGCCAAGCACGTCGGCTTATCCTGCTACCTCCTGACCGAATTCCGTACAAACACCATGAAGTGATAAATATTTAGGACATTCCATGATCCTGCTCTGTCTCCAACTCTTCCGTTCATTTCTATCAGCCGTCATATCTGAATTCAATACCTTATTGCGCATAAACTCTTTCACACAATCTATCCATACTTTCTTTGTTCTTTGTCTACCTTTGTAACCATACACATTTAATTTCATTACTTTCATATTAGCTTTTGAAAATGTACTAGAAAATAGTAGGTAGGTATCATCTTTGTCTGTTTTAAAGACAGAAAACTACACACTTCATGTGACGATGCAGTCGATAAACCCACGAATCACCAAGGCATTCCATTATAAAAATATTTTGCAATCAAGATGAATAATACCTATTTAGTCGTATTGCAAATCTGCTAATCTTACCATTCTTCCTCCAGCAAACGCACATATTATCCAATAACAATTTTTCCATATATTTAAATCAGTATAACAATATCAGGAGTCACGAGAAATTTATGGTCACCCTGATTGACATCATATCACAATTAGTCACAAATAAAATATTGCATGAATTTTTTCCTGTTTATTAAAAGAACACCTTGTATGGAGGTGCATTCAGCCAGACTGTGATCTATCTATTAACTTAACAATAACCTCTCATTGTTTCGTTTTACTATCAAAACATTCTCGTCAAACAAGGACACGGCATCGGAGTTACTAAAACATAGAACCAATTGTCTAAACTTTGGGTACCTAAAGTTACAATCAAGGTCTTATTATAAATCAATTAAAAACGTATGTCACTCTGACACGCCCACGTATCCAGTCCTGTAAAAACCCCGATGGATCTGCAACTATATGTCAGTGTAACCGTTTTTAAGAAATTTATCTCGTAAGTATAAACAAATTAAGGTAACAAACAAGAATATTGGTTTTGACGTTACAATATGCGTCGAAGTGTTTGTTTTGGTGTTTATTTTGCCACAAGGTGACCGTGCGGTGATCTTGTCTCTGAGTCATGACTAATTTACAATTTACAACTTTAACGGTATATTTGCGTAAAGGCAAAACCTGTTTTATTTATTTGGAATGAATGTAACTGATTCAACATTTTTTTTCCTTTAATTATTGAAATTATATTCGTTATCTGTATTGGTTATCGAATACCAATATTTTAATAATTTCGATATGTCAAAATGGATATTCATATTATATTCTGAAGAAATAACGGCAGGAGTCCGTATTTCGTGACTTAATTAAGATTTAAAATAACATCATTAAAGAATGAAAACAACGCCATCTAGTTGTAAACTTCATAATGAAATTTTCAACGTTACTTTTTGTTTTGTTCTTAAACTTTTCGTTTCTGTTTAGGTATGTTCCAATTTCAAAATCAACGAATATTTCATAACAGCTTTAAAGTAATTACTTATAATTTATTCCTCCAAGATAACTATTATTTTTTTTTAATTTGCATCAGACATATTTAATGCGTCATTCACACAAGATATTTCTAGACTCAATATTTCCTCAAAACATTTTCCTTAATAGTAGTTACACATTGATTTACCGAGCTTTTGATTATTGAAGTATTTTAATATATTTTGTCTTTGACCACATATTTCCTTAATGCGTCTATAAATAAAAAAAAAATGACTAGTCTGATGCAAGAAATTTACAAAACTAGTTAGTTATAAGTATATAATATTATTTACAACATAACTTTATTGAGCACTATTGAGGATTACATCTCGATATCTTCCCGCGCTATTCTCTTCACTTCACATGAGTCTTTTTATATCTAAAAAGGCAAAGGTTGTGGCCATAATGCCACGTCTTTGGCAGAATGTTAATTCTCATAGAGTATGGTGGAACTTTGTCAAAGTAATATTGGTCTATTTTCGAACAAAATTACTTATTAGTGCCACTTTTACCCGTTTTGAGCAAGGGGGACTTTTACTCAACCAGTGAACGTTACTTGACTCTCCCCCTGAATATAGCAATATCAGAAGTATTATAAAGATGGCAGCGTTGCCAATTTTTTGTAGAACCAAGAGAAAACGACACACAAGTTTTATAAAAGCAAGTTTGTTCTGCAATAACAATAGATGGCGCCTCTTGCATTTTACTTATTTATTTTATTGTATCAACCAACTGTCACCCGCGCCTTTAGCCACGCGGAATTTTTAAAAAAAACTTAATGTCTATGTGTTCTTCTAGACTTTGTTCTACTACCTTGCCAAATTTCATCGAGATCCGTTGAGCCGTCGGAAGATGACTAACAAACATCCATCCATCTAAACTTACGCATTTATATTAACAAAAATAAGGTAAAATTTTGTATAGGTATATTTATTAATAATAGTTATAGAAAACAGTAATAAAATTGTGAAAATATTAAGTTATTTATTCTAGTCTTAGATTAAATTTATCAATATTTACATTATAATAAACGTTACAATTAAAATAGTTCTTCAAGCTAGGAAACAGTTTTCACAGACAATTTCTTTGTATGAATAACTAAAAATATACGTAAACATATCAATGAACTGTAACAAACAAAAATCATTGCACATTTTTATAATCACTAACTAAAAAACTAAATTAAGACGAATGTACTAACTTATTACTTTATTATTACGAGAAAGTATTATCTTGACGTTTCAGATAATCGTAAATTGCAGTAGGAGTATTTTGTTAAGACTCTTTCAGTCTTTTAACAACCACAAACAGTTTAGCGTTATGTACTGCGAACTTAATTGACCCGGTGTGCAAAAATGTCACTTACAGCGTCACCATCACCGAGCCAAACAAGTTTACCGGACTATACATGAGCTTAAATCATAATTAGGGTTGCCAGGCATCCGTTTAAAGACATAGGTAGATTGGGAGTCCGGGCTTTCTACCCAAATGTCTGGTAAAACCGATTGGTCTGTCCGGTTGTTAGGTTTCCCAACCTGGCAACCTTAATCATAATAACAGCAATAAAAGTTCGACACCATTGTATTACAAAGGCAATTCTATCTATTAGTATCAGTAGGCTGGTCATCTTTATTTACAATCTGCTGCAGCTCATAATCCTGAACCACTTGGAATATTTTACTCTTCGCCTGATTCAAGTAATACGGACTAAATTTCCTTAACGTAGTACCAATAGTTATTAAAAACACATCCAAAGGGTCCGCTGGGTTTAAATCTTGGTATATTTCATGATGTTCCTGTTCTTTTCTTTTCATTGTTGTTATATTTGGTTTCATGTCTCTGTCACTTTCGAATTCCGTACCATCAACGAATACTTCGGCCGGCATTTCTATATCACAATCTTCAGCACTGGTTTCTAAGAAGCTGGTGTACTCTTCGCTTGTTGTTGTAGAATCTTTGAAGTACGGCAGCATGAAGGATAGTTCCTCCTCATATTTGTAATTGTAAACGCGTTGGTTTGGATTCCGGAGACGGTCTCTCACTTTCCGACGCATCATGTCTCTCATGTTGATCCAACGAGACTTGCACACCAAAGCTGGAACAGACAAATAATGATTGGAAGTTATTATGCGTATTTGAATTTTGTTTGTCACTTTAAAATGTTCAATTTGCTTTTGTTATTAAATAGTGTAATCTAACATCAAACTTACTATAAAAAATATGCAAAACAATCTGAATAAATATTGCTAGATTTAAACGTAGTTTTTCAAATAAATATAGGCACATTTCTAGTATAACAGTCTTTTGCAGTTCAAAATCGTATGCAATATATTAGAACTTACATATCGAGAAAACACGCAAATATAGCTTTTATTCCAGTGTAAATTAAGTTCAAAATACAATAATTTATTATAGAACATTAATAAAACGTCTTAACTCACCAGGTCTGCCGAGCGCATCTCCGATTTTCTGCCAGACGACTTCTCTCGAATCAAAGTCCAAATATTTAGCATGTTTCGAATTGTATAGAATATTATTTTCTTTCACTAACTTAATTAATTTCAAATCTAAACTTTTATTAAACGGTAGAGGCATTATAAATAAGTTTGAAAGCCAAAAGAGGTCGAAATATTATTTATTTGGAACGGTTTAATTTGCCAGCAAGAGAAGGGAGCGATGTCGCGCCGGACGCGTCGCGCGGCACTGGCCGGCGGCGGCGCGGCGTCGTGCTCGGAGCGGCAACGTCGCCGCGTCCGTCACACGACTCGGCCGCGTGTCACAGCGGCTGTATCACTGCCATTATTTTACTGTAAACTGAATTAATTAATTGTTATGTTTACAATTAATGCTGTTATCAATAATTATATATAATAGTTATAAAATTAATATACTTAATTATATCAATCGTTCAGTAGGGAACTATGCCATTTTCATTTTAGCCGAGTTGGAATGACTTTAACTATTTTTGTACAAAACGCCTATAAATCATTAAAATGTTTTTTACTTTGTTATCGTCATTTTTGAATGTTAAGCGGTCGCATTTCTATGTCATTTATCGTTTAGGATAAGATATAATTATTATATCTTAATCCTATACATAATTACTGATATTGGACCCCATAAATATTTTTAACGAATAACATAAATCTGTGAACGTGATTTAAATTTTATACCTACTAGACAACAAATTGATTATTGAACTATAACTTATTACTAGAATTTAAATAACACTAAAGTCTTAATGTTTAAATTTGCAAGTGTTTTTGCCATGTAAACGTACGTCACGCTGCGAGAGCAGGTCGCGCTGGCGAGCGGGGCACGAGACGGACGAGAGGGGGACGCGACTGGCTCGACCCGACATGCCTGCGTGACGTGTGACGACACGACGCAACGGGTTCTGACATTTTGATGTTACGAAACGTTTTTTTTTGCCTTTTCAACCACGTTGAGCTTTTAATTCATCTTAAAATTGTTTATATTTAGGAGAATCATTGATTTGAAACTACACTCTATATAACTGTACTAATTTAAATACTTTGTAATAACCTTATCGTATTTGGTTGAGGTCAATAACCAAATGTAACCAATAATTAAATGCGCTATACAAAGTACAATACTTCAGTGGATTTAAACATTTACATATTGATTATGTAGAAACTTCCAGACTAGTTTGAAATGAATAACAAAATGTACATAATGTTTCAATTACAACGATGATCCAAAATACTAATAACATTGAGAAAAGCGGTTTCCGGAGCATGACAACTTTATTATTTACGATTTAGACATTACGATTTTGAGAAATTTAAACTTTATTTAATGGGAATAGTTATTGTTATTACTGAATACCATTGTTACGATTTAAGAAAAAAAAACTACAGAAAAATTTACTGAAAAATTTAGCGATCTTTAAGTTTTAAAATAATATTATATATAAAACTTTACATGTGCCTTCATTTACAATTAATGGATTTCGCATACAGTTAAATTATATCATGTCTTATCCAGAATATTTCGCAATCAACTAATGAATTTAAAAGCGCCTGATTAAAATAAATGGCAAAATAACTAATCACCCAAAACAAAACGACCAAAGTAAATATCTCTCTAGTAAAACCTTCCTCCTATTCGCCTTCATTTTTCAATTTAAATGTTTCTACAGTTTGCGCGTCTATCTTCGCCGATCATGACCCTAAATGGTTTTGGTCTTTACCATGTGTTCGTAAACTCGAACCATTTTCACTCTTAATTTCGAATATATTATTTATAATCCGAGAATGGTCGAAGAAATTGTGTGTTACATATAGTAAGTCGGACATAAGTACACCTATAATTAAATATAAATTTTAATTTAAAAACCATGGGTAATATTCTAATCATTTTCTATATTTTTATTTTTAATTATCTTCTAGCACAAACATATCAAATCTATCGTCACAAACAGATAAAGTAAATCAGGTTTATTTGATTTCGTACATATACCATCACTGTTCCTCTGTCACCCTCCTTGCAAACATTATAAATTAACTTTTTTATTTTATTTGGGTTACTTTTGAATTTGATTTACAAGATACCAAAATAAATGCAATGAATTTTCATTACTGAGAATCATATCCTACTTCCATATTACAGTTAGTGCGTGTAATCTGAATATTTTTGTGATGTATCGGCAATAGATTCTTCAGAGCGTTTTTTCTCCACGATCTGTTGCAAATCATGTTCTTGCACCACGTTAAATATTTTAGTCTTAGCTATATTCAAATGATAAGGCGAAAACGTTTTTAATGTAGCTCCAATGCTCAAGAGAAATGAATCCACAGGATCCGATCTATCAAAATCGCAAACGGGCGTAGTTACTTCACTCAGAGACACGCTCATTTGTTCTTCTTCCTCGTATCTGTTCGCCTTTTTCTTTTTAGAATTAGATTTAGATGATTTTTTTCTTTTCAACTTTGTAATCGGAGTGTCATCTTCTGTATCGCTAGGAGGTCCTTCATCGTAACAATCATTACTAACTTGCTCATTGTTGGTGTCTGACTCATAATCGAAAATTGGTGCTCTGACTTCCTTGAAAAACGGTCTCATAAAGGCGAGTTCATTTTCATATTTATACCTTTTTCGTGGCTCCGAGTCGCTAATTTTTTTCTTTAAAATGCGTCGATACACGTCTCTTATATTGATCCATCTCACTTTACAGTCGGCGGCTGGAATATAAGATAGTTAGATTTGAAACTATAAATTAAAAAATTCCGCCCTAGTAAACTTGTTATTAAGAATAAGTTAAATATTTCAGTACAAAAATCTTACAGTAAATTAATGTTAATTTATTTCAATAATTAAAAAATAATAAATGATTATAAGTTAATATTTGTAATTCTTTAACAAATATACCATCATAAGCTAGGAAGTTGCAACTCGAATGATTGACTTCGAGTTTGCGTCATAGTAGGGGACTGTGTACCATACGGTAAATCGTATTGTATAAAAGTCACTACTCACCGGGGTTTTGCAGTTCGTCTCCGATCTTGTGCCAGGCGACCTCGCGGGCGTTGCAGTCCATGTATTTAGCATTATTGTGATCGTAGAGAACAGGATTTTCTCTAACGAGTTGTATGAGTTTGAGATCTAACTTTTGTGTGAACAACATAGCGCCGCACTCGACATGGCGGGACGCCGGAATGGCGGCTGCGGACGGAATGCGCGGGACGCGGGCCGGCAACGTCGCACAGTCGTGTCGGTCGTCGATCGATCTCTTTTAGAAGTCACGACGCTTCGTTTAAATTTTGTCTTCGTTGAATGTTAATATTTATCATATAAACATCACAGGACATCTTACTAATATTATAAATTAGATAGTTTTAATGGATGAATGGATGTTTGTAAGAAAACATCTCCGGAACGGCACAACGTATTTTTATGAAATTTGGCATACATGTAGAATATGGCCTTAAAGAAGAACATACCATAAGCTACTTTTTATTTTTTTTTAAATAAAGACGGTGTCCTGGCGACTGTATTTGTTCAGTTATATTGTCGGACAGAACGATATGAAAGGTAAATAAATAGTAATATTGATTTAATTATTATCCAAAAATAGCTAAGGTAAAATGTTGCCTTCAATAAACCTTTAATATAAATAAAACAACAGATTAAAAGAATAATGTATATTTATTTATTGCAGATAAATTATTAAAGCTCTAAACATTTCAGACTATCGTGCGACACATCACAAGCTATACTATAGCTACTATAGATTAAAAATAAAAAGAAATCTTAAGTTTAATGAATTTAGGACTAACTTTGTGTATTAAAAATGGTAACCTACACTACGAATATAAAGTTACTTATTTTTGTAAGCACTTCTACAGTTTGATTACTTTTTAGGCCGAGTTGAAACTTCCTTGACAACTTCTTAATTTTAAATTTAATGAGAAAAAAGTAAAAAAGAAACAAAACACAAATAGAAAAAAAAAGTTTATTAGAATAAATAAAACTTACATAAAAAAAAACAAAAGTGTAAATAATAAACAATGGAGTACATACAGAAGCAAACACAAGTTAGGAATAGCTACAGCATGTTACTAAATTAATAAAATTATTATTATTTAAATTACATATCACACTATCACTATGTCATATTTAATATATTCTCTCACTCATACAAAAATAATATATTTATCATTTTTGAATCATCCTGAACAATAAACAGACTGAACGCTAAATGTATATTTCACATTTTTGTAATTTAAATGCAAGTAAATTGGTTTCACTTACTTTTTTTCTATTTTAGGCAGGTATAGTTTTTTCATAATGCTATTTCTTTAGGGATCGGATAGAGGTTAATATATATAATTAATAAGGCTGTTAAGGCTTTAAATACTATATATAGATATATAAATATAACTCTCCTTATAACATAACTGTATATCTGTTCATAAAGGTAATTAATTTATTCTGAGTGCGATTTCCGGAGGCCTAATTTAGTCCTCTTTCCCTTCCCACCCTTTTTCTTATAAGAAAAGGATGGGAAGTGGAAGTGGACTTTCCGGATGAGAGGATGCATGGAAAGGGAAAATATTATCTTTCTGTGCATCTCCTCCTCCATCGATTAAAGGTAGGCAACCCATACGCATATTATTTCGCTATTTCGGCGATTTCAGGTGGCTGCTCGCTCATTTGCCAGCTTATGATATTAAATATATATATATTTTGTTTCCATATTTTTTGCAATGGAAAAATCATTAATGTTTTTATAAAAGTTGTCAGATATAGATAGAGAAATTAATTTTTCTATATATATATATTTTTTTTAAGTTAATAAATATAACAGATCTAAATGAACAGACATACAGAAACTTTTCCAACATAACGCACTATAAAGCACTTCTCATGGCACTTGCTTACAAAATCACACGCAATATATTATTTTCGTTGTTATAACAATTTACGAACACGCTGTATAAACAATTTCCTCAAACAAGTAATATTAAATGTATTCTAGAATGTTCGATCTATTTATTTGCAGTCAAATACAAAATAGTGCTAAAATCTTCTTTTCGAAGTCTATTTTTTTGTATTGAAATATGGAAACGGACTTTATTTTGTACTATTACATTTAAAAGTATGAGAAGTTATGTGACAAAATAGTTCCAACATCAAACATTTGAACCAAATGTTTGTGCCAACATTTGGACGAAATG